CATAGTATAGTAAGGAATAAAAATGTCAAAAAACTTCATAGTATATTAGGACATAAAATGTCAAAAAAAACGTCATAGTATAGTAAGGAATAAAAATGTCAAAAACGTAATAGTATACTACGGCATTAAATGTCACAAAAACATCATAGTATAGTATGGCATAAAAATGTCATAGTATAGTAAAGCATAAACATCATTGTATAGTAAGGCATAAAATGTCAAAAAACGTCATAGTATAATAACGCATAAAAACATCAAAAAGCGTCATAGTATAGTAAGGCATAAAAACGTCTTAAAATGTCATAGTATAGTAAGGCATAAAAACCTCAAAAAACGTAATACTATTGTAAGGAATAAAACGTGATAGTATAGTAAGGTGTAAAAACATCAAAACACATCATAGTAAAGTAAGGCATAAAAATGTCACAAAAACGTTATAGTATAGTCAGTCATAAAAAAGTAAATTAGAGTTGCCAGTTATCCTGGTGTGTGTGTCTTTGGCCTATGGGAGGAAGCCAGTATCCAGAGTCTCTATATTATGCCTTACTATACAATGGCTTTTTATGCCTAACCATGCTATGACTTCCTGGGCCTTGGGTCTTTCTGTGTGGAGTTTATACTTTACTATACTTTGACCTTTTCTTTATAGAAAGGCATAAAAAAAAGTTAGTGAGAATTTCAATTTAACCTAATTTGCATGTCTTTGGACTGTCAGGGTTCAAACCCAAAACCTTCTCCCTGAGAGTCAGCAGTTCAAACGACTGCTCTACCATGCCTCCTCATAAAGCAATCATCATATAGTCAGGCACAAAAATATCAGGGTATAGTAAGGCCTAAAAAAGATCCCTTTTGTTATTAGTATATAGTCGCTCAAATAGTGCTGTTGCTCCTCAGTAGTTATACAGTTAAGTTAAGATGCACACCTTATAAATAATGAACATACTTTTAGTGTAGAGCTTTCTCCCATTTGTGTCACAAAATTTCAGGGGGTTAAGACATTATTTAGAGACAGCATGTTGTATGTCAATGATTGAAAAATATAATTACAACATTTAAATTTAAGGTTAAATTTCTGTACATCTTTTTCCGTCTCCTTCAGTTAATGGCCTCTACTGCTCTCTAGTGGTTGAAATTAATTTTTATTTTGTTTCTTCATGTCACACATACAAAAACAAACACCAGTTTCAGTATTATTCATGCTTGTATATACTTTCAAATGCACATTTACATATTTATGTTAAAATTTTCCATTAAATAAGAACTGCTATAAGCTTGTTTATCATCTCCTAGGAGTTTGCGTTAATAACCAATTTAAATTTTTTTTTTTTTTCATTACCTTAGTATACAAAGCAATATGAAGTGAAAAGGATAACAGAAAACAAAGTAGGACTCATTCTATCAGCACAAATCCATTCGTCTTCTTTCATGTGTCCAGTTTCAAAAGTAATCACAATGCCAGATCCTAGCTGGGCAGATAAACTATATGAATCATCATTATATCCATCCCAAATGTTCATATTTTATCTTCCTAGATGTACGAGATTTTTTGGCTTCATCCACTGCTCTTATCTCTCAGCTAACACAGATTTTCTTAACAGACTATTATTCATTTTTTATTTATAAAAAATTAGCCTCACCAAATTCATAACTCTAGGACATCTATAAACATAGTTCCCATCCCACATCGCCCCGTTATAGCCAACTTTCGTGCATGTTTGTGGACACCCAAGAAATATCTTGTGTATCACACATATTGACATATTTCTTAAGCCCCTAATAATCAAGCAGGGGACACACACAAGCACGAATGAGTTGACACCTTTCATGAAATCAATGTTTTCACCAATGACTATGCTTCACCTAATGGGAGCCTTGTTCCACCTCTGTGTATTTTTTGTGATTCAGACCATGTTCCAGTATGTGACCAGCCTAATGAAGCAGGGGTACCAGGAGGAGAGCATCCGACAGCGCCACCTCACACTCTCCCCTAAGGACAGACCGGAAAAGAGGAACACAGCGCTATGAGATGCTTCTTCCTTTAACCACAACTCAAGACTGTTTCTACCAGTGCAGCACAGAAATGTGTCTCTGTATATAGTGTATTTACTGTCTCGTTTTCTACATCGCCCATGTTTACCACAGTCATTGTTTGCTAGTTTATCAAGAAAAGACAAAAAAAACTCACACACTGACATTTAACAAAGCACTTTATCTCTGAACTTAAATTCTGCTGCAGTTCTCTTCCATGAGATCAGGACTTGGGAGCGTGACATGACAACAAAATGGCTGACAGAGTCTACTGGCTGTGGCTAAACCTGCCTTGTAGTTGTGATAAAGAGAAATGATTAGAATTACAGCCAATACTTTGTCTCTGTATTCATAACTCAGAAATTACTTAAAGTAAATCTACAACTTTATACGTTTTTTGTGCTATTTAACTTAATCATGACATCATTCAGAAAATGTCTATTTGAATTCACCACATTAACTGAAGCTATACTGTACATTTTATTGGTGTTTGACAGCTTGACATGGGGAAACAAGAATATTCATTGTACTTCAAAAAGTAAAATAAAAACATAGCATACAATTTCATCTCCAATATCAAGCCAAGTCAAATACTGTGAAATTTGACAAAAATAAAACAACCCTGGTCATATTTAGTTCTGCATTTTTGAGCACCCATGCTTAAATTTCAAAGCAAAAATTTAATATTTAAATGAAGAAAATTCAAATAACTGGAAAATTTAACATCCTTCTAAAGAAATAGTCCAATTGAAATGTGCTAACAGGGCTCACAGGTTAGCTGTTAATATAACATAAATAGGGACTCACTCTAACAATTAAATAGTATGAAAGGCAGTTTATCATTGGGCATCTGGATTTGGCTCCAGAGGTGACGCAGCTGTTGAGGACCTGGTTTCTGAAGCAGAAGCTATGGAGATTCAATAAAGCTGACCTGCTTCATCTTGTATGAGTTTTGAAAAATCCTCCTCAGGCATTCAGATCACCGGTGGCAATGAACAGCCAGGGATGAGATGTTACCATGCAATCAATGGCATAATATCGTAGCAGTCACCGGGTGGATGAACAGTGATGGCGGCCTCAGATGAATGCGGAGAAAGTGGGGTGGGGCGACAAACCAAGCGGAGGCCTTTCCCATTTCCCCCACTGATCGCACAGGCCAGTTAAGGTAACCATGGATATGTTAAAGAGTCTGTTGCTCATTGGGTGGCTTTGGTTTTCTTGCTTTTGCTTTTCTTATCTTTCTTCTTAAGTCCATCCATGTGAGCTCTAAGGAGGTTGGAGTACGCCTGTAAAGAGGAGTTAATGATGGTCACAAACAGCTCATTCATCAAAGACAGTCAATTGTGAAACATTACTGTCAGCAACTCTTAATAACATTGAGGAGACCTCATTAAGAGAATCTGACCAAGGTACTAGCTTCCAAACAACTAGAAAAAAAACTATAACTCAACCCACCATTTGAAACTTGATTACTTCTTTGGTGCTGACCTGAAATTGCATGAAAAGAAAATTCAGCATTAGCAGCCTGTGAAAAGCATTAAGAGTAAAAGATGAGAGGTCACCAAATGCAAATATTAGGAAACCCTGTAGCTCACCACTGTGCTAATTTTCCTCTTGCCATCAGACGCTCTGAGGAGACATTTGTTGTCTGCTGGTTCAAATGTCTCTGAGTGGCCCTTTCTAGGCACTGGCTTGGTCCTCCCATCATCTGAAAATAGACACACATCCCACAACAGCAACTCATTAAGATTTCCGTCCTGATTTGACATGAATAATTATTGACAACACTCAGTAGGAGCCTCCTTACATTTCTTTAGTGTGATGACAACACTGCCAGATGTCCTGCACTTCTGGAAGAGCCGTGTGAGCTCTGTGAGGAACTGAAGAACAGAAAGAAAAGGCTTATCTTATTATTTAAGTTTATAATATTTCTTATTCAGAACACAAACACAGTTGGGCAATGATAGATAAAGTTATGAGCTGTGGTTGATCTCAGAGCAAAGACAGGACACATTTAATCCAATTTAATTTAATCTAGTTTATATAGTACACTTTAGTAAAACTAATGTAGTCAGATAAAAGAGCCTGGCGATAAATCCTACCATAATGAGGGTTATAATGTTCAGTTTTGTGGTGGTGACTGGTGAATTATAGGCTATTAGACTGCTATAGCTTTAATTAAGTGTAACGCTAAGTTACCTGATAAACTGGCGAGTAAAAGGATAAGGTAGGTAACCTATACATTTTCCTCACTACTAGTCAAGAAACCAAAGTAGCCATAATAAAATATTAAAAGGCCCCACAATGTCGGTAATTCTGCATTACTTATAATTCTCTTTAAAACTAGTCTACGCTACGTTGCTAGGTGCTAATTTACAAAGTTTGACTAACGCTAACTGTTTTAGCGTCTATGAACAAAATTGTAGCTCTACCAATAAGCAAGACACCCAACCAATTCTACAGGGCTTATGAATGTTAATATACTAGGTAATTCAATAACTGGACAACATAACATTTGCCAGCCCAACTCTAAACCAGTATTAGCCTCAACCTAAGGTTAGCAGGCTGGCTAATGAATCAGTTTGACGACTAGCTTGTCTAACGTTGAGGGTACTAGCAAACTAGCTGTTAGACAGCTAAAGCAGACATTGTCAATATCTAGGTTATAAACAATCACAACAGCAGGCTGAGTTATTCACAATGTATTTTCGGTTCTTACCGAGTCATTTTCAAGCAGCACCATGTTTCTGTCTTCAGTTCAGCTGTAGCCGCAAGCTAACTGCTGTGAAGTCTGAAGCACACGTACTACCCAAGCCGGAGCCCCGCCCTGCGCCCTCACTGTGAAGGCTGTAGTTTGATCACAGCGCCGCCTGCTGTCAGGGAGGGAGACTAACACACATACAATTTCTTGATGTTTGATCTGGAGATCATGTCAAGGTAATTTCCTTTTGGTTATTTAAATAAAAAATAAAAAATAAATTTTAACAAATCTTAAAGTTGCAGACTATATGTTATCAGTTATGAACCGTGTGATTTAATTCCCTAAGCATTCTGCATAAAGATAAAGCCAAAGTAAGTGTAAGAGAGTTTCATGGTGTCACTTACAAAAAAAACAGAGGTACTATAACCAGACTGTATCAGGGCTTCATGACCAAAAAATCTCATCCCACAGAGCATTGGGAAAAGGAAATTAATATAGCATAGAGATTTCACAGGAGGAATGGTACTTTCAATGGGAATGCACCAACTCGCACACATGGATAGAATTCAGATGGAGGTATCTAATTAGATTTTTTATTACCCCAAAGCAGAAAGCACACTCAACAGGAGAGCATACCAATTCCTGAAGACAGTGTGGGAGTCAGGATGCCAATCACTGGGAATGTCCAGTAATAAGACATTTCTGGACAGAGAATGCATAAAGCATTGAAAGGCATATTCAATACGAAAATACCTCTTCAGTTTAACACATTTATTTAAGGAAAAATTGACTTTCATTCGTTTCATTCAACGAATAGGCACTGGCTTCTTCTTGGCCCCTGAACAATAGAGGAATGGACAGGTGAAGTGAACTGACATGGTTGGATTTGCTAAGGGTTGTGGTGTACCCAACTACGGTGAAGTATTATCCTATCACATCTTTCCTAGCTGACCAACCCCTGGTTCTAATTCTGGTGTTAGTGTCTTGTTTTACAGTCCTGTCTTGGTCAATGTTACTATAGCCAGTCACAATGACAGTTACTGATGCAGCGTAACGATAGGCACAAGTGGTATTTCAGCATCCAACACACAGCAAGGTATGGCCAGCAACAAAGAGGTTCCCCCACTCATCCAGTGGTCACTACAAGGGGCAGTCTCTGGACTTAAATAAAATTCTTTGTTTGTTTGTTATCTCATTGATGTTTACACATGTTTAATAATTATAAAGTATATGAATAACACCGGTTTTGTAATTATACAGTATCAGTAATCATACATTCAACAGTCAGTCAACACCAGATGACCACTAATCTAAAAAAAAAAAATTAATGCTAAGTCAATAAACCTTATTTACAGTTACAAGTGTATTAATTTAGTCAACAACTGAAAGTGTAAGTTAATCATCTGATGTGGAAGCTTATAGAGAGAGTGAGCGATCATGTAACAGAGATAATATAAAAACAACATAAATTACAACTACGCCACAAGTACAACCTTGATAACAATATGTATTTCATGGAGAACTTCTTATTCTGTCATGTTGATAGTGCACAGTCTGGGTGGTGCCCCAGGTCAGCAAGATGCACAGCAAACTTAGAGTGCCAGTCTCTGTCAAAAACCACCCTGAGCTGGTTCTGCAGGGCCTTGGTCTTCCATTCAGGGTGAGGAGCATGCTGGGAAATCACCAGGCCTACTCCAGCTGTGGTCACAAAGTAGTCCCCTGACCAATTGGAGGTACCTTGGTAACAACACAACGTTATCTGGTCAATTATAAACTCATTTACACACAAGAAATGATGCCCAAAGAAGAGTTTAACTGAGTTTAAATTCAACAACAAATGTGTAGAAATAGAAACTGAAAATGAAGGTTGTGTGTTACGCACCAATGTAGGCTACTTTATCTGTCACCATGTATTTATTGTGGTTGACTCTGGAGTACGGAATATCAGTCTGGTTTCCTACAGGCACAATGTACAATTTCTGGAAAGAGAATGATATTTAAAAAGTAAGAAAACTCAGTAGTGAGGATGTTGTGTTTACCTCAAGCAGACATGACATTTACTTCGTGTTGTGTCTTACTACTTGAATGCTGATCTGGTGGTGAGGGCTGTCCATTGAGGCTAGAGACTGAAGGAAGGGCAGCATGGCTGGATCAGAGTCACGCCCGCAGCTGATCAGCATCCGGATCTTAACCTTCCTCTCGAATGCAGCCATCCTGATGGCGTCATCAATGAACGGCCAGTATCTGTTTGATTATCACAGAATCCAGGGTGATGAAATCAGGCAAAATAGCTACATTGTTGAGGGAAACAAAGAGTTTCCTTTGTGTGTTAGGTTTACCGCAGAGGCTTTTCAAAGCGTGTGGTGGGGAAGTACTCCATGACAGCTACATCAACGTAGTGCTCAGCCTCTGAGATGATGGAGAGAATTGCCTCCAGGTCCTGAGTCCTTGATGGAGGACAGAATGATGGTGGAGAAGCCTTGGGTGGAAATACAATATGGAATAATACTACCAAAAGCAACAAACATTTCATTTATAAAATGTGATTTCCATGTGGTAACAGTTCAATACGTGGCAGTTGCCCTGACTGAAACTGACATTTACACAGTGTGCATTTGCTTCTCTGTAAATAATCCCCTACCCTGTAAAAGGGAAATGAAACTCAAAGAACTCACTGAGAGGTAAATACTGCTGGAGACATTATCAGCTTCCACCAACAGGGGGTGGTGTTTGTTGATGTCAGTGTCATAATTTGAAGGCCAGGGCCTTGGCAGGGAGCTGTTGGATTCTCCCATCACCCAGTAAGACTGGAAGATCTTATGGAGGTCCTCTGCCACACTGGAGCAGTTGTAGATGACCACTCCGAGTTCCTTTACCTATATAGTCAAAAGTAAATTATTAGGATAATGTTTTAAGGTTGAAAGTGTGCACCTATAATCGGAGGATTTTTGGTTTTACCTGTGTGAGAGCTCTCCAGTCCATGTTGGCACTTCCAATAAACACATGTTTTCTGTCAACGATCCAGAATTTACTGTGTAGGACACCTTTCATCAGGCGCCCAAAGTTCACCTCCCTCACATGAACTCCTAAAGACAGAGGGAGACTACATGAAGTTGATGCAATCAAATGCATCATCATTGCAAATCATAGCATAACACAATGAATGGAGAGTGTCAGAATGATCGGCTCCAAACCTTTCTGTTTTAAGATCTTTAAATCTGTGGAGTTTGTTCTAACTGTGGGAACACTGGTCACCACTCGGACAGATACATTCCTGGAGGGCAATGCCTCAAGTTCTCTCAGGATATCCTTTCCCTGCCAAAAACAGACTGACAGTGTTAAAACATATTCAATCAACATTTAATGTTTTATGTTCATGTGCAATGTAGTTAAATTTCTTTCTCTCTGTTTGATAACTCACAGGTATGTCAGAAGATGAGTTGACGTTGATGTCTTCCCCAGTTAAGGTCCAGTAAAAAGAGACCACTTCTACCTGGTCCGTTGCCATGGAGATTAGATCTTTCCAGACTTGTTCCAGGGGGATCCCGAGTGTTGCATTGTCATCATATTTCACATGTTGGGGAATGCTCTCCACAAGGGCCATGCTGAGGATATAAAAAAAAGACATGCCTGCGAATGGAAACTGAACTGGAGAAAATGATGGTGCAATTTAGAGAAACTAATCTTCAATCGTTGCGTCAATAGATGCATATATATATGATTAGTGGGTTTACTTCCAAATTGCTCTTAACTTCATGACCCAATTTATGCATCATAATCTACAATGTGATGATAGCTCCACGTTAAAAAGGGAAATAAACATGACCATAAGTAAAATCAATGATCAGCGAAGCCTCAGTAGACACATATAGTAAAATGTTGAAGTCTTGTTTGTTTACCTTTTTTAGTAATACTTTTTAAGGTTTGTTAAGCATATTTAAGGTGGTGGGAAGGTTAAGAGTCATGGGAATTAGATCTTACACATTTTTGTTGATTATTTAATCTTTATATAAAGATTGGCCAAGATATTTTTCTATAGACTATAGACTCTTGAGTACGAATATTTCACTTAAAAGCAGCACACCTGTCCAACCATTACACTTCAACAGAATGACGATTCACTGACTGAACTTTTTATTTGCCTGGACAGTATCTGTCACTTCTCATATATAGCATCATAACAACTAGTTAACTTCGTCAGCCTACATCAGTCTCTGGTGGCTGTTCTGGTGCACAGCCATGTTTACAAACACTGAACACCTTTAGTAGGATCATTACCTGCACTGGTCTGTAGAGAAATTGGCCCCACCAGCTTCCTTTGGGAGTGTCTCATGATCTTTGGGTGGTGTGGGTCTTTCCAGAACAGCGATGGCAAGCAAAATCCCCAGGACTATCAGACAGCCCAAAACCACACCTAATGTCACGCAGCTGGTCGACCTCTAACAACATAGTTTGATAGAAGAAAAAAAAAGAATCCAAGAGTAAGAGACACAAAAGAGATATACACACAAAATGGTAAATAGTTTGGCGAATGTTTGATGCAGTCCTACCCCTTTGTTTGAAACATAACTGTCATGAAGGCTTCTATATGGAGAGGACATTTTCCTTTCAAAGACTGCTCATCTGTTTAAGATTAAAAGCAGGAAATTATTGTCTTAAACAGAAAACACTTGAAAATTGACAATTCAGACCACACTAATGACAGAACTCATCTGGCTGTTTACTGGTGTTATTGTCCAAACAAGTTTGGTTTTTTAAGTATTGAAAGGAAAAACAACTTACACAAAGCAGATGTAGATTATTCTCCACTAGAAAGAGTTCAATGCAAATAGCTTATTCCCCTCCAGCTTTCACCCGACACTGAGATGAAGTGATAGCTCTGCCTCTGAATATATCGCAGCACAGTTCCCATTTTTAGTTTCACTTCTGGTTTTGAGACATGTATTTTCTCAGGAATAGAAAAAAAGTGTTGTGAGGGAACAGAACAGATGACAAAAAGTCAAATAAACTGCTTTGCTAATCAAATTTATTTGAAAAAAAAAACCCAAACAAACAAACACAAAACCAAATCTGGAATCACCATCTAACAAATTACACAAACATTCTGGGTGTGTGTGTGTGTGGGGGGGGGGGGACAGAAACTGAATCTTAAAAATGGGACAGAAATTTGACACACAAGAGTTCAACTTTAACTCTGACTTTCTGTGGCTTAGATGGAATAAAGCAAAGGGAAAATACTATCCCAAAGATGATAAGTAGCAGCAATACTTTGAGCAAGAAAGAACAAACATTCAGTTTTCGCTTGAGTTTGTAAACAACCACTGTGCTTGGCTGCATGAAACATTATCCCCACACAGCTCTGTGGCACTTATAGGTACTTCCCAATTACAATCACATGTACAGTCTGCACTGGGAACTTGCTGGTTTACTGGTACTGCCTTTTTTCCTGCTTCAACTCCGACAGCATCAAATGCTTACAATCTGTAAAGGCTTTCAGTTTTGCAGCATATCAGGTCGAGGGGACATTGCTGTACTACATTAGTGCAAAAGACAAGATTGAGAGGTAATTTGTAGGACATATAGATATCTTTAGATATTTACATAGTGAACAGAGTGTCACAAACTAACAGTCAGATTTACAGTTTCACACAATTTCTCAACATATATGCTAAAAAAAAAAATGACATTACTTCTCCTGTCATGTGAGGACCTTGTGACTGGACAGACTGAGGAAATATCACATCTTATACCAGCTCTTAGTGTTTAACACCAACATATGGAGGTTTTAGTGTTGTGTGATGAGCTCAGTACAACACCGATAAAGGAGACTTATTCCCGTCAGTCTTTTTTATGATTGTCAAACCCTCAGAGATAACTGTGCTCTTCAGGCATGGAGGACAACACATCAAAAAAACAAGTTTCAAGCCCCATACTGTGTTTAACACAAATAAGAATGCACTTCCCAGAAGGTAGAAGCACAGGAACGCTTGAAAACTGGCTACTAGTGTTTTATAGCCACTTGAGTTTGTGGTTGCCAGGTGACTAAACCACGGACTCAGCCACAACTTCCATTTGGACACACATTCCTGAGGGATTTTCACCTCCAGCTGCGCAAAATAGATAGAAGACCTGGACACAGTTGGTCCACTGGGAAATATGTGAATAAATACACAAGATATTGGCTGGTAGCGACTGTGTAATGTAATATGAATTGGTCTGGCACTAGAGTCTACCAGCTCTCTCCCAAAGCTATGTTGTCTCGGACACAAAATACCCAGTGTCTCACAAAAGACCCCTAATAAATACTTTTTACATTCGTCCATGAATCTGGTTCACAAAGAGAAAAGTGGCAAACAACAAAGACAAAACCAAGGAAAAAAATATATATAAGGAAATGCAGTGGGTTTACTGAGGAAACAAACACACAGTACACCAACATCTGTGTGCCTTTTTTTCTGAATAGAACAAATATTTTATTTGTCACTAAACACAAATATTTGATTTGTTAATAAATTTCCCTGAGTTGATTAAGCTCAGGTTGGTTTTCAATTAAACCAAATAATGACAATGAGCTTTTAAAATCAGCAAAATTGGTCATATCAATGGTAAATAATGAGTACAATCCCCAACACACAGAATCAAGTATAGTTTTGAGGCCTTTCACAGGTGAAGGGGGGTATTATGGTACTTCCTCAAATCATCACAGACAGGTGGCCCTGCCACTGAATGTATTTTAAGGGCCTTTAGTGCAGGCTTCATTGTGTATTACAGCACAGTGTAGGTGTGTAGTGCTCATAGTGCAGTAGTGTGTATGCTTGAATGTGCAGGGGGGTACAGTTCTGAGTATCCAGTCTCACTTCCACCCTCTTGGTTTCAATCTGCACACAATGGTCCGACACCTGCATGTGTGGTGAAACAGCAGAAGTTCAGCACTTTGTGTTTGCATCAGATCTCAGACCAAATATCCTTTTCTGAGATCGTCTGGTGTCACAGCTGCTCTCCTGACACCGTCACCGGGCCTCGGGCCACCACCTCGTTTAGACACAGAGTGGACGGTTCTCCAGTCTCGCGAGGAAGAAGGTCTAGAGGTCTGAACTCCAGACGAGGACGTGATGGCAGAGGCTGAGGCCTTGGACGCTTCAAGCTGCTCACTGGGCTCCATGACTGTGTTAATGACTGGATAGACAAAATAACAGACAAGAAGTTGGGGCTCACTTAGCAAAAGTATTACAAAGAATTAGTAGTAGCATTACAAAGATAAATTATAGATTATAGATTAATAATAGATTATTTAGATATATACTGCCTATAAACGGTGTGACTCACCCTCAAGTTGTCGTTGAACTCTCCTAAGTTCTTTCAAGATAGACATGATTTCCTGAAATACAGACATCTGACTTAGCTCAAACACAAAGTATTTTTAGCATTTTAACAATGTAGCTTGGAAATGCACAGAAGGAAATCGCCAACCTTGTTGGAGGTTTTGACAACAGGGACATCATTGTCAGAATTAACCTTTGCCTCAATTTCATCCCAGATATCCACCCTGTCCTGGAACAGAACCCTGCGTGTATAATGCCAAGTGCAGGTGTTAGTAAGTTGTCATCTTACAGTGTTCTTTAAAAAGGGACAATCGACATTGTTGTATCCAAAATGTTGATTTAGATTTAGAATACTGAGAGTGCAAGACCCTTTAGGAGCTTTTTAATTGTAAAATATTTTTATTCTTTGATTGTCGTTTGTTTTTTAGATTAAATAAAGACTAGAAAAGAACAAAGTGTGGCTACATCTCACAATGGAAGCTTTCAAACACAATTGTTTATTCTCCATCTAATCTCCTCAGGAGATTACATCACTGTCTTCTCAGTCACATATCGTCAGTCAGACAATAAGTCTGTATGCTGACTCACTCAGTTATACTAATTTAATAAGATTACTGGCTCAGTGCAGTCTGGTTGTCAGACAGGATCAATAAAGTTTTTCATCAAGCCCAGATTAAGCCTGGGAATGAAGGATGCTTATGTATGTGTGTGTGTGCGTGCATGTGTGCATGAGAACATCTTACTTAATTTTGTCAGCAAGTTGCTCTGTGTTTTCTCTGATGGCCATGATGATCTGAGACACTGGATTCAGCATCAGGTTGTCCACAACGACCTGGAGAAAATACTAAATAGTTTAGAACGTTCTACCAGTGCTAGCAGAAGTTGTGATAAAAATGAGGCAAAGCAGCATATTGTGTCGGACCTCGTCTCTGCTCCGAGCTTGCTGCCTGGAATTCTGTTCATGGTCACTTGGGCTCTGGTCAGGCTCCCTTGTAGATGCAGAACTTGGTGGGACTCTCTGATAGTTTAATCCAGCCTCTGGAATATGCTGAACGAGCTGTGACACAATCAGAAATTAGTGTTATGATATAAAATAGACAGAGACAGACAATCTCTATGGCTGATGCAAAAACAAGGCCATAAAACAGAGTTAAAACTGTAATGTACTGTTCTATAGTAACCACAAGTGTCTGATTAACTGATTTGCTTATTTAGGGAACAGATTCAGTGATTGAATTTTAAAAGAAATCACGTTACATAACTGCACCTGATCTGGACAGCCAAAGCTTAAGCAATGAGAGATACTTCCTCTTTCAAAAAAGAGAAAAGGCTATAGTTTGTGATAAAGACGACAAAAAACTGAAGAATCTTCATGTTCAGTCAGTTGATCAAATATAGATTTGATGCCTCTGTGACTTTGATTAAACAGCAACTACAACAAGACACTGATACAGTCTTTGTTGCACCTGTTCATGAGTGGTCACTGTGGAGATAGGTGCGTCGCTCTCCACTCCAGGGTTCTGTGGATCACCGTCACCTGCCACGTCATGGATCTCTCTGGCCAAAATAGCTAGGTCTTTAGCCAGGTCTTGACTCAACCTAACAAGGAGTGGAAACATGTTAGAACAATGGCTGACGGGTAACACGGAGGATAAACATTTACCACTGAATGAAAAATCCTTGCAATCCTTGCTTCTTTACACTGATCCTCCACAATAATAACAAAATTAATTGACCAAAATGTTCTGGCTAAAAAACAAACAAACACTTAAGAGCAGTCATCATATTTTAGGCACAGCACCTTATTTGTGTCCACGTCCCATTTTGAAAGATTCCGTGTCTTTGGTTTTGGTTTTCTTCTTTTTTGTTTTGTGAATATTTGAAGTGTTATATGTAGTTTATTTATGACAGAATAAAACCAAATCCAACTATTGTGGTATTGGCTCCTGAGTCACACATGAAGCCTTAATGTAAAAAAGTATTATGACATAACTGCTGTAAAGGCTGCAGGTATGAACCTTGGAAATCACATTAGTATCCACACCAGAAAAAAAGCTCTGTTTGTAATACTCAACCAAACATATCTTACCGTGCAATCTCAGCACTGTGAGTGGACCAGTTTTGGAGGGCGTCTCCCTCTTGGTTCTCCTCCTCAGAATCTCTGCTGCGGGGCTTTGCCCGCAGGGTGACCACCGGCTGTGGCCGAGGCTGACTGCGTGGGCTGTGGGAAGCTGAGGAAGGTTGGGAGCGTTTGTGTTTAGGAGTGCTCTGGTTTGAGTCGTACTCCTCATCTGAGGTAGAGGTATAGTCAGAGCCTTTCTGTCGCCTCCTGGAGCCTTGATGTTGTGAATTGGTTTGAGTTGTGGAGGATGGAGGATAGAGAAGAAAAAAGAAAACAGGAGAGAAAAACACCACCAGGTAATTCAGACGTAATCACCAAAATCCTTCCCAGAAAAAGAAACTGATAAGTTGCAGTGGAAGTACTCATCTCTACATTTGTAACTTATTCATTGTACTTTTTTTACAAACTGAAATGAGTACTTGACTTCCACAGTATAGAAGCTGAGTACCAGATCATAGCACCATATAGTGCATTTTATACAAGGCAAGTATTACAGTGTTCATCATATCCACATTATCCTCATAGCATGGCTGCAAATAAATGTGAGATCATACAATAATGCATCAGAACACTGTGGAGATGAAGGAAAATCTAAATTTACCGAAAGGTATCAAAGTATTAATGTTAGTATTATTGATGTTAGTCAAAGTCCAGAATCAACTCCCGCCCTCCACACTTTTACAAAAAAACAGCTAAAGAATCCAGGCTTTATTTCCTGAAACTTTCAGTACATAAACTGAGGACTTGAATGCATCAAACCAATTCATTACAGTGACTGTTTGACAGACCTTGTACTGCTTCCAATCCAGGCACAAAGTGATCTATTTTATACAGTACTGGTTTGACATGAGTAAGTGGTCACAGCAGTAAAAATATTACATTCAAGATTTCATTCAATGAAACATGTATTTTCAGGGGTTTATATTATACTCACTTGCTGTGCTGCTGGCATATTTGGCACTGCTTGAACGTCCGCGGGTGACTGGGGTCTTGTTGAGCACTGCCTTCTGCTGCCTTTCTACAGGTTTCGACGCCGGAGCAGAGGCCCTTCGAACAGAGCTGCCGCCGTACTCTGTGCTGCGGTTGGAGAATCCTGTGCTCCTGCCCGTCCACTGTGGGGTGGAGGACGCCTCAGTGTCGCTTGGTGTGTTAAACGAGCTTGTCCGCTTACGAGGCATCGCCAGCATATCCAGCCTGGAGAGTTTCTTGGTTTCCTGAGGCTGCTTGGCTGAAATATTGCCCGCCTCTTGTGACAGCCTGTCTGTCTCCGTGCCCTCGTTGTCTGAGGCCTCTCCCAGGCGAGCACGACGTAGCATGGATGCCCTGGTGGGTCTTGGAGCTGACAAGCTGTTGGCACGATTCAAGGCCTGGAGCACTCTGGGGGTCTTGGTTTCCTCCTTCTGAAGGGGCACAGTGTATTTCCTGCGGGTTTGGTAGGTGTTAGACTCCTGATCAGAGTAAGGTAAGCTGTGAGGGTCGTCACTTAGGTCTGTGGAACCACATTTCCCAACACTACGTCTCAGTCCAACTTGCCTCCTGACAGATTCAGACTTATTGCTGCTATCTGCTCTCTGAAAGCGGCGCTTTTCTGATGACACGGACTGGTGATTTGAGTCCTGACTAGCTATACTAGCTGAAGACCTTTCCCTATGGAGGCCACTGGCAGAGGGTTTTTTCGTCACTGTGTTTGACTTGGTCTTACTGCTGTGCTGGCTGACTGTGCTGGAGGTATCTACATCAGACTCCCCAGAAAGAGAGTCCATTAGTGGAGACGGAGTGGTTTCTGGTGGTCCTGCTTGGAGTTTGGCCTCCAGAACAGCCAGAACATCTTCTGTCTCTTTGAGGTAAGAGTGAGTGTCCTGATTGCAAACTCCCTGGAATAATTCAGGGTCTGGGTCCTTTTGAGCCGGCTGGCTAGAGATGTTGGGCAATCTGGCATTGCTAGGCTGGTCCTTGGTGAAGCTCTCTTGTCTAATTAATGGAGACACTGCGCCCTCTTTGGACTCTGGACTCTGTGTCCTCTGGCCCAAGATAGGAGCTGACGCACTGGGCTTGACTTTTCCAGGGTCCTGGTTACTCCTCGGTCTGGTCAGGGTGGCTGTTGAGAAAGTTTTTTGTTTTCTCTCAGTCTTAGGTGTGCTGGATTTTGAGCCTCCGCATTCTGGTTTGGACTCAGCCTCCTCTGACTCGATGTAGAATGAAGCAGACTTGGCTGGGAACATGGTCTCCTCATTTTCCTTCTCTTCTGTATCTGACAGCGGTCTACTCCTCTGTTCTATGATGGACCCATCATCAGATTTGCTGGCATCACTCAAGCTGTCAGGCTCTACATCATCCTGCACTGACAACCTGTGAACACCATCCTGAGACCTGGGGGCTTCCAAGCTATTCTCTGCTACATCAAATGTTGAATGCAGGTCATAATGAACATGAATGCTGGGAGTTGGAATGTCACTCTTCTCCCCCACTGGTAGCTGGGGCAGGATGCGTCGAGCTCTCGAGTCTGTACCGTCATGGTTACGGCTGAGCGTGGCCTTGTGGATGATTGTACCTTGTGCTGAAATGAAACAGTTTTAATGCATATTAACCACACATATTGGAACTGAATATCATTCATATTCATCAGGGTTTCTCATTATCATTTCAAATAGACTCATGTCTTGTCAGGTGGCTTACCCCCTCCTGACAGCTCCATCTGGGAAGGGATGTCAAAGAGGCCAGATGAGGGACCAGATTCTGTGTAGCTGTCTGCCAAGCTGGCCCAGCAAGACATCCACTTAGGAGCCCCCTGTAACACTGCACCTGCTGGCTGAACCTGTAAGAGAAAAACATACAACATATTCAATATATTTTGAAAAGACAGAAGATTAAACATTTTTAAGAGAGTGCAGTTTATAATTATATGATTTCCTGAGCAGGAAACAATGTTAATATGACAAACAGCAGAAGATACTACAGATCAATCTGTTTCAAGAGTAAATACGAAGTACAACTGCTAGAGAAACACGGATATTTTTTCCTAAAATTTGATTAGAGAGAGAAACCGAAAAAGAACCCACAACCTGCGAGGAAAGATGAGGCAAATCAAGAAATCAAAAGAGCGGAAACCAAGAGGGCAAATCAAGACAGCAATGCGTGCTGATTTGTGCACTGAAAGATTTATGATTTACTGACCCAACACCTTAACTCATTGTATCTAGAACTGGTGTTAATATTATAAATCATTACATCCAACCATTGATCCGACCCTTAGCAGGAAGGTTTACCTTCACCAGACTCTGTCCCTGCACTGGAGCTGGCCTCACCTGCCCACTGCTACTCTGCCTATGCTGCTCCCTGCCCTGATCAATAACAGGCCTAAATGCTGATGATGTTTCTGCTTCACTCTGGTCGGTTCGCTCTGGGCTCTGAACAACACCAAACACCTGTCAGGAACAAAGCATTGCAATTGGATAAGTGTACGAATGGAGAAAGTGGGACTGCCAATGTCCAAGGCTCAGTCTGAGTGGGACTATTTCCATATGACATTGGTGAATTATTACCTTTAGGCAACTGTGTTAGAGTGAACATAAAACAGATCAAACAACTTGCCTGGTCAATCTTGCTCCGTGCCTCTTCCAGATCTTTATCTTGGACATCTGCTTCAATGGTGTAGGTTCCTGCATCACTCAGACTGTCCTCTTCTTCATTCCTGGGGCCGATAACGGGGCTCTTGACTTCCACGCCATGAGATACCAGGGGCATCACAGGCGCCTTGAGGGGAACAGGCTTGTTGACAGGAGAGGAAGTCTGGGGCTGGTAGGGAGCATTGGAAGGAGGGGGACTAGACAGTGATCTTACCACTGCCTCTGTTTTAGCTGCTATAGGGGAACTAGATGTATTTTTCTCCCAGCTGGCAGAAGAGGCCTGCTTTGTTTGTTTGAGAAATTCAGCGGTAAATTCCAGGGCGAGTTTGGATCTCCGGCCCACACTGCTAAAGGGTCTTACAGAGGCAGAAGATGAAGAGCGGGAGGAAAAACTGGTGCTGATTCGGTCCTCTGTCTTCTCCCTTCGTAGAGAGCCAGCTCTTTGGGGACCTGTGGAAGCAGGGCCCTTCAGGGGGACAGTGTATCGTTGGGTTGGGGGAGTGGAAGAGGCTGAAAATGGGGTTTGTCTCTCCCCTGTTGGGCTTGAGGTCTTCCTTGTCTTTTCCAGCTGGACTCTGAGGCCTGAGGGCTCAGGCGGGGTAGTGTTATTGGTAAAGGACTGGGAGCGCTTCTTTCTATGGTTATCATCAAAGAATTCAATGACAAAGGCCTGGTGAGGCTCAGCCTTGCCAAGACTGGAAAGGGACTGCGACTCTGGAGGAGAGTAGGACAAGGGCTCCTCAGAGTCAGGGGAGGTGAAGCGTTGTGGGGGGGTTCTAAGGGGTTGTGGAGACACCTGGGACCCAATCTGAAGTTCTGATTGCAGACAATCCTTTCCATTGATTGCAGGATCCCCTGAATCACTGTGAGTGCCATCTTCACTGTCGTTTTCTGATGATGGAAAGACAACAAGTTAACTTGCCAGTTAGCACATTATTGAAATTAGAGTGTTGATAATCATTAACAGAAATTCTATAGCTGACTCACCCTTGGTGGTTTTCAGAAATGATGGGTCACTGTTTGTACTGTACATGTCTTCAGCCTGTGACCTCCTCCTAATCATGCTAGCATTGCTTTGGACCAGCCAATCAGCAACTTTGTTTTCTGGTGACATCACCTCAGTGGGTGTGGTAACAGCTTCTGTGGAGGGTAGCTTTCGCTGCTGGCGGAATGAAAACTTGGTCACATGGTCTTTGATCTTCATTTTACCTGGTGTGCATTCATCAAACTCAATGGTGAAGGAGGCGTGGCTTTGGACCACAGGAGGTGTAGGGGTGGAGGGGACACATTGAGTGGGATCGGGGGTATCCTTTGTGGGAACCTCGTGAACTTGCGATTCAGGCTTTTTGGCCGGTCGCTGCAGGCTCTCCTTTGTTGGGATCTCAAAGTAGCTGGGCTCCCGGCGGTAGGAGAAGATAGACTTGGCCTGACTGTCGGACAGAGAACCGTTGGTCGCATATTTGGACCCATCTCTACCAGGCTCTGTTAACAATAAAAAAGTAATGAGGTCTCAGTGAACACATAGAAACACAGCAATCATTGGTCATGGTTCTACATAATCCACTCGGTGCACTAAAGAAATACAGAAGATGCCATTTTAGTATGAATTAGTAACAGCAGATGTACGGGGGAATGCTATTTGTTTGAGTCCCTCTCCAAGCCCACACTTATAGCTACACATAATACATAACATAAAGGACATTTCTAAATCATCACAAATAATATTTTTGGAGTTCAATTGGGATGCCACTGTCACAAAATCCCTGAAACTTGGAGCCACAGATAACACAGATTCCAGCTGTTAGCCTGAGAAAACAAATCAGCCGGTTGGGCTTTGGGTGCCAGCTGGATGTGGCCAAATATCAGTTTAGGAGCTCTGAGTCCAGTGGAGGGTAGCTGAGCAGGAATAATCTGTTTCAGCCTGGGCAACATGAGGCCAACAATCACACCGCCCCCTTCCCTCTAGCAGCTTAGAGGGTCATAATCCATCACGAGGCAGACAGGCACTGCCCACTGGCCTGGCATGGTATGGCCTGGCTAACAGTCCACAACTGGCAGCCAGAAGCCTGCCTTGGGCTTAACACCATCCATCTCTCAGTGACCCACAAAGGGCATCACATAGCAGTGCCACAGAAAAGCATGTCATTACAAATTAGCCAATATATATCCAATACTATTACAGTACAAATAACTCTGCAGTACACATTATATAAACACTTCAGTATAAATTACTTTATTAAATCAGGCCTTGTGCACATAGTAGTAAAAATATCAGATACAGTCTCTGACCTGGAGACTCCTGTTCTGGCGATTTTCCACCTCTTTCCACCTTTTTGTTGGCAGGATCATCATCCTCCCCCCACCACGACGGTTGGCCGTACAGAGGAGTAGGCTTGGATATTGGAGAATCTATGCCAGCTAACAGACAGAGGCACAAACACAAGCATGAACACAGACAAACGCACAACATTAGGCACATGACACACTCGGATCCAGTGAGGAGAGTTTGGAAAGAAATAAGAGCCAAACAAGGAACTGAATTTATACAGCCTTTTGGATATAAGTACATGCAACACGTCACATGACAAAGCAAACAGTGTTGTGTCTGGGTTTGGTGTTGCAACAACTATATGTTGCACAACACTGGAGCTCAGAAGGACACAGTGTTACACTACCCATAGCCTTTGGGCTTTTTGCAATTCCCACACATTCCCATGACACAGAGAGAGTAGTGAGGGTCAAACTGGGATATCAACCGTATCACGCAAACCACCAAAACATAATCCTCCTTGTGTGAGTCGGGACAAATTAATCCTAATCTACAAAGAAAAAAAATACAATACAGGATATAGGATATAGGATAACCAGTGCATCTAAAGTGACACTTGTTGTAGACTGTGACACACGTCGTTTGCACATTGACCTTGGTATACTCCCCGTAGAGGTGCAACCTGGGGAATGAAGGCTTATTTCTGTGATGCTCGCTCTGAACTGGTGTTCAGCAGCTGGTTTGCCAGCACACACATGACAGACAGCCTATTTGGCACTAATCTGGATGCTGCTTGTTGACCTGATAGCTAAGCTAAAGAAGCTCTGTGGAGTTTAATGTGGAGGCTTCACAATCCTAAGCAACAACAGCACTTCACCACCGTTGCCTTGGACACACACAATAAGACATCAACACAGTGACGGGGCAGGCAGAGGGGCATGTTACCAATTCCTTTCCCATTACTCAATCCTCCGCTTTTAGCTAAAGAAAACATGGATGAAGTGGACTGAGCACAGCACTGACTTATGTTGACTTTACTGTTTTATAAAACAGTTGGTAACTACAGCATTTCTCAATATTGGACATTAAATAGCCAGACATTGACAGTTTGTCAAAATACCAGTTTCATCAGTTCAGTTTTAATTTCTCATTCAGCCTTATAAAGTTAAAAGTTTAACAAGGATTAGGGACATTAATTAATTTAGGACATTTTAAATCATGTAGTGCTGATGTGTACTGTATCAGGGAAAACTGAACTATCCATTTTGTGCCCCTTTAGTAAATACTGAATGGCTCCAGGCCCTGGCAGAGTAAAATAGGACTGACTGAGTTAGATACTGTACAAGTGAAGTGTCCTGCCCTGCAGACAGCTGGAGGATTGGACATAGTCCACATCCTGTACAGCTGCAGGGAAAAACAAGCAAGAGCAGACAGAATAAGATATCCACAGCTCTCTCAGCACTCATGTAAGTGACAGAATTGTATGGAACTAAACGAGAACATGGCATGCACAGAAAAAACCCCAAACCAATATAAAATATCCAATAGATGAAAAACAACATTACATTAAGGCTGCCAGTCAAATAAATTCAGGTAAAGAGAATTCATTTGCATGAAATCATCAGAGATATGCCGACATAAACAAACTGTAAGAGAACAAACTGATGTTGTCTATATCTGCAAAAAAATCTAACACACTCCACTTATTTTAAGTGTGCAACACAAGTCAAGCTTTATATTCTCTGGCACACTATGAAACACTTCCCTTATCTTCTTGACACTGCACATTTATCAAGCGGGTACTTTCATTATCTCATTGGTGGACTGGGTCACAACAACACATTGCAAAGCTGCTGTCACACTTCAGACATTAACTGCATGGCCCGTAGGAAAACAACGTTCCAGTGAGCATGTTCGGGAAAGAGTTTGCCGTCACAGGTTCACTGGATCACTGCGGTTAGCTTAGAGCTGCAGGAGATACAACCACACTCCTATTCTAGAAGGAGACGCCTTACTAAAATAAGGCTTACCAAATGTTTTCCAAAGTTCTGCAGTTCAATGAAACATTTGTAAGGCATTCTGAGAGGTATGACCCTAGTGCTGGAAAAGTCCTATTTTAAGCACCAGTTGTAGTTTTCCCTCTAAGCTCACAGGGGCCATTATAGAGAAGAAAGCACGAGAATTGCTAAATCAACAACAGCTGGAATGGGTTTTGTCAGTGTGAATGAGCTTCATTCACAAAGTGTGTCTCTCGAACTAACAATTCTCTGACTGTTCAACTGTTGCCTTAACTGTAAAACAGGATTTACTCAGTACAGATCAGGGCAAAGAGGGTGTGAGAGCAACTGGAAATATAAGCAGCAACAAATCCACAACCAGCTACGTGGACAGAAGTGCCAAGTTGGCACGAAAAACTCCACACACCTCGCTAATTCTTATAGGACACGTGTTGAAGCAGCATCAGTGTGCTTGAAGGCACCCCACCTCTTGTCAGCAGTCAGGCATGGCTGACAGAGATAAGGCTGCTTGTCCTTAACTCCTCACCCCTCAGCTTGTCTGGCAAGGCCTTACTCTTGTATAGTCATTCTGCCAACACTGGGATGTCAAGATCTATTTCTTAACTGACTTCATAGGCTTGTAGCTTCAGCCTCTCAGCTCACATGGCATCCTAATCTCACACCAGGGAAGCTCCTAATAAAAGCCACAGTCGCCTTATCAAGGGATCTACAGCCAGAGTTGTGCAGCACATGGAGACACAAAGACTTCCTCTTCCTTGTGTGTGTGAACATGGTATTCAAATCCAGTTAAATCAGTTCCTCTTGGGCTAAAAGAACAATTAAACTACTTGTGTCATCATAAAACCTGTTGCCTCCCTGCTAATATCTGCTATGATGGAGTGTGTGTGTGGATGGAGTTGTTTACCTGTGAGTGAGTGGGCTCTGCGCTCAGCCCTGTCCTGCAGTTTGATATTGGAAAGAGAGTCTTTGCTCCTCTCTGAGCTCTGGAGCTGCTGTTTTTCTTTCGCCTTGGCCTCCAGGGCTTTTATACTGAGCTGCAGCTGGCTGGTGTACTTCTCATGCTGCACACAGAGACAGGAGGGAAGCAGGATGTGAGAGACCGTCTGACAACAATCAGTACAGATGTAACTGTCCTCAGACATATACAGTATAAGGAAGAACATTCACCAGGGACCTCTCAGTAAGATGCATTTGAAAATTAGCCAGCTGGCTGACACTGGCACATTTACAGAAGTGTTAGTTACTGGGTGTTGCCCTTTAAGAAAATGGAAAATTGTTCGATGGAAACTATTGCACTGACTGCATTTTCTGTAATTCCTTTGCAAAAATGAGCATGGTTTCAGCTGGCAGAAAGGAGAAAGTTACAATTCAACATTTTTTCCATTAAAATAAAAGATCACTATGTTATTATGATTTATTATTTGGTACTGTGTAATTTGTTTTGGCTGTAGCCAACAGTGATAGTCCCACAAATTAATTGTAGCCTTTAGTGTTTAGTCCCTGAATCAATTAGCCAAAGATTTTTTTTAAATATTAATTCACAGTTTAACTTAACTTTTTTGGTGAAAGTCTTTTACTTGTGCTTGCTTTTCTGTTCATTCATGAATGAACTTAAAGCCTTTGTGAATTTAAAGCCCTTGTGTTTTTGTCTGACAAAGAAGAAAGATTTTAAAGAAAGTTAACAATCACGATGGGCTTTAGTACTTTATGGATTAAGAGATTACTTGAAAAAAACAAACAAACAAACAAACAACAACAGATTGATAATGAAAATAACAGAAGAGCACTGCACTTTATCACTATCAACATGGAAAGCATTTCTCCTGAAATGCGTTCTGGCACTGCAACTACAAAAAAAATGGAGCAGACTGTCAGTAGTACTTACTTTAAGAGCTTCCTCTGGGACCTTATGTTGACTCTTCTCCAGGATATATACATGAGCATGTGCGGGAGGAGTTAAAGTACAAAAACATGTCTACATTTTTGTAAAACAATGTGATAATATGACTATTTATATACTCAGTCTGGCTAAGGGAAGATATTTGCTGGCACAGGGACTTGAAGAACAACATGCAAACTTACAACACAAATCTGATTCCTAAAATATGGTAAATGTGAAGTTACAAATCTTTCACTGAATATAAGTTCATGTCTTCTTTCCACCTTGTCTATGAAGGAGGTCAAAAGTTACTTCTTCTTCTCCTGACAAGTCGGATGGAAACAGATAAGCAGTAAAAACATGTTGCAATTCAAACAAGCTCATATCTTCAGTGACCCACTCCTTGAAACGTGCAGCATCACATGCCACACAACACTCAGTGTGTGTGTTAGCAATCCTAAACGTCTCAGTACTCTAAACAGCTTTCCCCCTGTTATCTAAACGGCATTTCACCATTCATGAGTTTTCTGATTTAGTGGTCAAAGGGTGCAGGAGATTTTTCTGTCCACAGTTGACCATAATCTCAAACCCCTGACTGAAAACCCAAAGGGGATTATCATGCCGATGGAGCAAAAGACCACAGAGGGGAAAGAAAATGCAAAAAATTCTAGACTGAAACAACAGCCAACCACTGGCTCATTTCAGCGTGGGCTGCTAATCACAAACTTAAACTATTCCAATCAAAGAGCAGAAAGTCTGTATTACATGAATCACACAGATGCAATCAAAGACAAGTACGTGACTTAAAGTAAAATGAGCAATAAATAAACAACAAAAAAAGATATCATAACCGAATCGAATGACGTCTGAGAGCTTCAGGGTGATGTACGTCTGGTCAGGGATTCTTAGGTCATTCACAAAGGTCTGCAAAATAAATACAGATAACATCGAATCATTTTCACTGTTCATTAATGAAGTAAATGAGTTGACTCACAGGTGACAGACTCTCTAAAACCTTGTGGCACGCACCCAGACACTTTAAGGTGCTTTACAATTGGCCCCTTTCCCATTGAAAGTTAGTCCACCAGATGAGATTATGTTGTTATGCAATGACAGTCTCAGCTATTGTAGAATGCTTAATGGCCAGGTGGAAATAAACACGCAACTGTGCTTAGTTTGTTAACCTGTTTAAGTATCTTCTGCCTAAACTAATAATTAGTAAGACAGAGGTTGCAGAGTTTATCTTCAGATCACTACATTTAAAGAAAGATAATGTTGGACATTGGCAGGCCTTATTCTATCCAGACTAAACCAAGATAATTGGAGGAGAAACACAGCCATGTTGGATTTCAGTTACAGGTCCTTGCACTGTTCTGCTCTGATTAGTTTGGCTGCGTAACCAAGGCCAAAAGAAACACTCTGTGAGAACAATGAATGGCTTCTCCCACTGCACAACTCTGGATTTCATTGGGATAATGGTGCAATGAGGTGGCAACAGAGCGGTGAAGGGAGTGAGTGGGGGGGTATACAGAGCGAGAGATAGGAAGAATGGGAAGAAAAAAAGAGAATTCAGGCCAGCTTGAAAATCCAGTCTCCTGATTACCACTGTTCGACTAACAGTCCCTTTCTTTGGCACACAGACTGCAGCCCTCAGGGAGCCCAGAGGCTTTTATCACTCTGGGCAGAGGCAGGTTGTCTGACACTAGAGATGTACTCACTCACCCCGTTCAAACTGCCCAAGTCCTTAACCATGTGCTCGTCAGTGTTTGGGTCATAGTTGATCACAGCATGCTGTTTGTCCACACTGCGAGACTGCAACAAAAGTAAAGCAAAAGTGATTAGAGCTGGAACATTTTGTCAATGAATCTATTGGCCAATCGACAGAAAATCAATTGGCAACTATTCAGATTCATTCAAATCATTTTTCAAGTCAAAACATCAAGTCCGTATCTCAACTGTTCAAATTTTCGACTTTTATCTGTTTTATATCGTTGTAAACTGAATATCTTATGGACAAAGCAAAAGATTTGAAGACGTCACCCCGGGTTCTCTACTTTAGTGTGCTCTTTTTCTTGACATTCTGTGCAGTAAAAGTTAAATCGATGAATAGAGCAAACAATGGAATGAATTGATATAGCAAAATAATCATTAGTTGCAGCCCTAAAAGTCATCGCCATTCCTACACTATGATCCCAAATTAGGATCTTTGAGTGGATAAAAACATGAATGGAGCCACAGAGAACTTCCCTCTACATACACTATGCACAAGCTTTAAATTTTGCAGCAGTTTAAATTTAAAGATGGTGCTTATCTACCAAACTCTGCTCGGGTAACTCAAGCCATTAACCAGAGGAAAAATAAGCCTACTTCTAAATATGCTTTCATCAATTAAGTGCAAACTGAGCAATTGATTCGGACTGACTCACTCACTCTTTTCTGCTCATTAGGCACTCTGGGCCTCCTCATCACAGAAAACACAAAGATTGAAGGTGACTGCCAAACCCATTTACAAAATTACCACCATGTTTCTATGTGTACTCTGTGTTGGCTTATCCACTGAGTGGATCTTATATATACTGCACTGCCTAATGGTGGGTTTATCAATCGGTTTACACACTTGATTAGTTTAACTGTGTAGCACCTTTAAGAATTCCACATTCCTTACTCTGCAGCCTTTAGCTTCTCTTTGTCCCCTTTTATCAGAGAGAAAGTGTTGGCTCTGGCACTAGGAAACAATAAATACACAACTAAACTACAGACAAAATGCAGTCACTTATGTAGGTAACACATGGTCTAATTACTGGTAATGGAGTCACTGATCAGACACCAGTTGTCCTAGAAAGTCCAAACATTCAAGTCGAGGCCCACAGCTATGCTATTTGATATGACTTCACTTACAATCAATCTCTGCTATTCAAGCCAAACAGGATTCTCGTGTCACAGACATTCAGCTGTGGTTTGAACAGGAAAAAAATGAAATGAGCTACAAACAAAAGAAAAACCCTAAAGATTAAAGCGTTTAAGACGATTTGGAGGAGAAAGTGATTGCATGCCAAGTCAGGAAGCAGTCCTGAGCACTTAAGCAGCGCAACAGAAAAGTCTGCATCATTTCAGACTGGGAGAAGCTGAGGTTTTTTCTGGATCAGGCGACGCCTAAATGTGGACATGAGCAACTTTTCAATCTAACAGACCTCTGTGGTTGGCAGAGCTTTTCTGAGCATAACGCACTAACTTAGAAAAGTATAAACAACCGCTTCTGAGGCAGAATTCCTCTTTCACTGGTCTAAATACAGTCAGGAGAAAATAGGAAGGAGAGTATAATAGAAAGGCCACAAAGTAATTGTGTTTATAACTGACACAGCATGGAAAAACAACACAGTGGAATGGCTTAGCTGCATTTTAAGTCAACACTTGAAAGGCTGTCAAGGACAACTTTGTGTGAAGGCACTGTCACCAGGTTACACACTCAGAAATGCACACCCACGAAGCAATGCAAGGAGCCTCCCACTGGTGTTTCACATATTTATGTGACTAGCTGTAAGACATCAGTGAGGAGTAATGCAACGTATCCTGGGCATCCTCTCACAGATTACAGTGAAGACCAGTTAGGGTTCATGTGACACTCTGCTGGTGTTTGCTGTGTAAACGCAAACTTCAGCAAAGCGAGCACACACATCCCCTCACACTCTTGCTTAAACATACAAAGTCTCTCACACACACACACACACACCTGCAGCATTAACTCGCAATCATCCCGGCCAACAAAGATCATCTCCCGTGGCAACCGGTGGCGTGTGCCAGAACTGCTGACCAGGAACCATGATGTCACACTCATGTTGGGGCCACGAGTCAGGATCTTCTTAGCATCCTGGGAAAAGGAAACAATAAAAAAAATATTCAGACAAATTTGAAAAGCTGAGGATTGAATGACCTGAACTATCACAAGGGGACATTCAGAAGGCATGACCAAAAAATTCAATAACTGTGTGCCTGAACAATGCTAGGTGTCCTAAAAGAGCTGCTCTACTGAAAGCATGTTTCAGTGTAGGGATTACTGAGGTCGTCATGTCACCCCAGAGACACAGTTAGACCTGTTTATCCAACCAATTCAGGTCTGGTTGTTGCTACTGAGGTAATGCAATTATAAAGCATATTTTGTGTGTCAGACAGGTATGCATGTCTCCAATAGGGGATGTACGGTATGTTCACACAATTCACAAGTGCATGTCTTTATTAGTTAGCCAGACCCTGATATTAAGACCTTCATAAACAGTGTCTGTTTAATTAAGCTTGTCAGGAAACCTGTTGCAAAGTGGCGCATTTCAGTAACGTTAGCTAACAACTCAAACTTCCAGTGCTCAGGTTTTTACTTCCTGTAACCTTGGCTACCTACACATTATTGCCAATGAAATATTAGCCGAAAATAGTCTGTGAGTTAGAGTGAAATCTATTTATTGTGTCTTAAAGGTAGCACTAACATTTGTGTGAAGTGACAGAGGAGTCTGACGGTGACAGTGACGTTGTTGAGCTAACGTTAGTGAGCCTCTGGTTAGACCGAAACAAGCTTTTTTTCCCAGTGATTTGCTCTCAACAGGGACGTACCTTTAATGCCTTCTCCGCTTTACTCCTGAGTGAAGCCAGTGTTTACCGTCCTACAGCAAATGAAATTCGACGACCGACATGTAGTCACGACGAGAACACCTGGTAGCACCGGACAGGTAAATGTCGATCACACCCTCTTCTTCCTCTGGGAGAGAACAACCGCCCGAAACTCTGCTCCAAAGCCTCTTCACCTCCTCCCAACATGGTGACGTAGCTTGACAAGTCCCGTCAAACGCATTATGAGTTCGATCTGAGAGGTGGAGATGGAGGCGGGGTAAGAGCTCTCACTCTGTCTTCTTTTCGGATGCGGAAAACCACAGTGTGGAAGAAAAGTTGGGCACAGCACGCCCTCTAATAGCATAGTTAAACATCAATACTTAGCATATTTTATTTTCAGTATCAGTAGATCTGAGTATCATTTATTATATTTGATATAGGATATTAAATATAATGATATTTTGAATGCTAAGAAATGCTAAGAAATGTTGTTTTTTTAAAGAAAACATTTTATCTGCAAAGATATCAGTCAGAAAGACAGATAGAAGATACAATATGTCCCTCACAAAAAAAGTGCAGTATAAGTATAAAGTAGCATACTGTAAATGTAATGTAATTACTCAAGTAAAATAAAATTGTACTGCATTACAGATAATTGATTGTAAATGTTGTCGCTTAGCATCATATTCTCTTAGACAGTCAGTCTTCATTCTTATCTTACATGATCCAGTGTCAAAAGATAATATGAAGTATTCTAGGCCACATTAATTGTCAATTAACATCAATATTACAAGGCAACAAAAACATCTTAAATAGTATAAGTACTGCTAAGAGTTCATGGGGTGATAAATGTCTGACAGGAGACTTATAATGAACAGAAGGTATACTGTAAGCAGAAAGTTGTTATTTTTCTCCAGTATGAATTTATGCCATTTATTGGTAAAAAAAATAAAAATAAAATTACAGGCGTAGAGCGCATGCGCAAGGATTCGAGACATATTTTTGTAGACCTGGCCAGAGTTTTAACCTTCTGATGATTCATCGCCTCTTAAGAGGATCTTCGGCTCTATTCATGGCTGGACTCGACTATGTTTTTCCCGTGATGCACGTTGGCTCACCCGAGCATGACAAAAGAAAGAAAAAATATTCTTACTTAAAGTTAAAGAAAATGAAAAGTTGTCTGTGGCAATGAGCTAAAATAGTGATCGAAACTGCGGCGTCAGGGAACAGGGAGGGTTTGACATTCAAATACCAGTAATTACATTCTATTAAAATATAACACCCCAATTTAGATTCAGCTAAAAGTAAGCTGTCGCTCTAATCCCCATGCTCTAGCTTCTACATCTAAAAAAAACCCACTGATGATGATGTGTGGATATGACATATTAATCCAACGGAAATACTTTTCACACAGGCCTGATACCCGCTAGATGGCGCTGTAGTTCCAATTTACCTTATTTATCTACAGTACTAGTTTCAACTTAAAAGTATGGGCAATTTCAATGAAGCCACAATGTCTGTTACATTAAGTATAAATTATCACCATTCATCCTGAATAAGTAGGCTAAATAAATAAAGGGAGGCTATGATAATCTCCAGTCAGTGTCTATGTGAGGCAAAACATTTCAATAATGTGCTAAAATAAACCTCGCAAATATTATATGTATCTTATGTTGCTCTCTGTGCATTGCAAGCATGTAAACAATGACTTTATAACAATTTCACCCTAAAAAAATCAGTGATGTTTGTTTTACAAATAAAAAGGTCCTTATACTACAGTAAATTTGGGTGGCTTACCCTCTACTACACCCCTGCACTGTAAGTGGGATTTAATGTTATGAAGGGCTTGTAGTCAACAGGCTGAACCTGTTTCCCAGTGCCTTGACCTCTGCCACATTTAAACTCCCCACCCTCATGTAAAGAAACCTGCTCTTTGACCAAATCACAAGACCAGTTTCTTCTCCCTGTGCCCAATGAATTAGCAATGCAAAACTGTCTGAAAGTGATATTGTTTAAGTTGTAGTGAAATTGAAGAAAGGCAAGACACTACACTCACTGTGTGACTTTGTGTTCAATGTTCATACTTTATCCTGTGCTCTTTAATGTCTCCTGTATTTTATTATATGCTTTGTTGTGTAGTCAGCGAGGAGAATGTAAGTTCATGCACAGTGTGAGACAGCGTCCATCCTGATGAAAGGTCCATGAGCACAACACTTGCTGCTCTTAGATGATCTTGCCTTCTTACATAATGTGACAGTAGAGAGCAAAAATAAAGATTTATCAGTAGTCATAAATATTTAAGTAGTGCATACTATATTTATAATGTGACCTATATTTAGTAAAATATACTAGCTAACAAGAGCATCACATAGCATTGAAGGGGGAAAATAGAGGGTACATGCTGCTGATTTTGAGTTGCAGCCGTTGCTACATAACTCATATTTCATGTGCCTAAAGTCTACAAATCCTCTTATCTGTGAGCTGCTCTACAGATTCTCCTTTGTATTGGTATAATTTTTCAATTTTGGGAACAAGTTTTCATACACTCAGTGTATATGTAAATCACTCTCTCTCTCTCTCTCTCTCTCTCTCTATATATATATATATATATATATATATATTTGCATCTAGTACAAAGAAGAGAAATGTTCTGGCTCACAGGCTGTGTGTGAGTGACACTTTCTCCACACAGCACAACACTACATCACCCACAGGAGGCCAGTGGCAGAGCTGCAGCCCCAGCTCTGCGGTGTGATTTGGGCAATGCAGCTGGAGTCAGGCGAGGGATGGTTGTCAGGTGAGCGCCACACTGGGCCAAACCTTAGTCTCACTGCGTGGCGCTGCACATTACAGCTTGCCCAAAGACAGACTGTGAGCCCTGGCTGTCAACATCTGCTCCAGAGACTGTACCATCTGGCCGAGGGCCCAGGGGAAGCATCTCTCCTCGTCTCAGACCAGCTGCAGAGCCCCAGACGTGGACCTGAGCAGTCCTGCAGAGGCAGAGAACATGGCCAAGACACAGTAAGAGCCGGCGAATGCTGGAACATGTCTCACACACTTAGCTGTGTTTTGTCTGTAGGGTGTGATCACAGTGAGGTTTAGATAAACAAAATTCCTTCTCTTATTTACTCTTTTTTTACCTTTTAGTGGCAGAGTGTAAAGGTACAGTCTACGGCTGTAGCTACAAGAACTGAAAAGTCACATATATCTACATTTTTACATGCTTAGATTAACTTAAAATAACCACAAAGTACTATAAAATTCAAATAGATGTGGCAAGTTTTCATTAATCTAGACTGACCTTGCATAAAAAGTGCAACTTTGAGATATCCAATCAAAAGACAGAAGAGGACAAACATGATGAGGTGCAAATAGAAAGAACGTGTGAAAACTAATAGGTAACTGCATTAGAGAAGGATGGAAAAAGATTTTCTTTCTGAGAACACCTGTCAACGTTGCAATTCTTGCATAAAAACAAATCCAGACATGGGACTATCCAGACACGGTAATCAAGCCAAACACTATAATAAAGCATATTATAGTTCTGGACTCCTCACAACACAAACTATTATCTTCAAGGGAAGGACTTCACAATAAAAGACAAGCCTACTTTTTGTTAAGACCTTTTATTTCATCAATTTGAAAGAGACAAGTAAAAACAGTGTACAAAGTTTATATTATTTGTTTACTAAAGCTGGTGTCCTCAGTCTCAGGAATATGGGAGGGCAGGTACAAAAAAAGTTGAAATAAAAAGTATAAAATGAATTTCCCTATTTTCAGAAGGTGACAGCAAAGGGTGAGTGTGCATAGGAATACGTAACAATCAGATTGAAAAACTGAACAAAAGGTTCGCAAACGACTGAAGTGAAAACAAAATCGTAAAAACCATTACATTCAATAACGTATGATGCACTTTTGAAAAAATGATTATCAGTCATCTTAAAAATACTGAAGCGCTTTTGGAAACCTCCTAGTACACTTTGTAAAAAAAAAAAAAAAAGTTTCAGTTCCCATGAGTCTCAGTTTAGCCTCAGCCATTTGTAAAAGGGGAGGAATCATTCAAACAAGCAAGTCTTGTTTTATTTGTATCCACATTTGAATTTACATTATAAAAGAAGTTAATTTAGTCTTTACCAACCATAAAGTACAAATAAGAGTCCAAATACAATCATTTTGGGGCAGCAAAGTGCATATCATTGGCACAGTAAAACTCATTTTAGTCAACGCTGGTCTCATATAAATAACTCACAAGCTCGTGAAGGGACAACAGTCCCCTAAAGAATCAAATCAAAGATGACTCTTTGTGTGTGTTTTCCCCTGAAGCCCAGTATGTTTGCAAAGTATTCCTAAAGAAGTGTATTATGTGACCTCATTGAGGCTGCAGTGAATGCACTGGGTGGAAAACACCCAATACTGTACTGTACATGGAGGAAAAACCCAGAGGAGAGAAGAGTTTCTGATGGGTCAGCGCTGTCTGACCCTGATCAGAGGGAAACCAGGAGGTGTCTGCGGCAGAACATTGAGATAGAAAGGCATCAGGAACTATAAGCACTTACTTCAGGGGGAGGGTTGGGGCGGGGGCTGGAGGAGCTATTTGTTATCATGAACAGGAAACTGGGGGTCCGTCAGTGACTCTGATGCACAAACAGTTACAACAGGAATCCACTGCAGGCCAGCTTTTACCATAATGATTAATCACTCTGCATTCTTTGCATGTCTGCCATTCCTCACATCAGACTGTATTGCACAATTGATTTATCAAACCCATCATGGTTCGGCATGATAATACAACAGACTGACTGGTGGAAGTTTTGCATCAGGGCAGTAGAAAAATGATTTAAAAAAAAAAAAAAAAAAAAATTCTCCCCAGAAGATGGTATTTCAGTCTTATGAGAATCAGCCATGTGTTACAACATGTAAGTATGCAGAAAGATTGACTTTATTTGAGACGGTACATTCACTTTTGAAGCCAGAAATGTCTTGGTCTGAATGGTTTTTGAATTGTTCAGAAGTCTTATAGAGGAAAACATAGTTTCAATCACCCACTCAACAGCACACACACACACACTCTCTGCTCACTTGATGTTTTTGGTCCACAGTATGCCTATTTCTATTTGAAATGAATGGTTCATATTTATTTGTATATGTTCAATACAAAATGGCCCTTTTCAACATTCATAGCAGTGGCCTAATTTGTGCATCACATAACTACATTTCCTCGTTCGTTATGGTGTATGGATGCCTGCTCAGTATACAACATAACAACCAGGAAATGCAAGGTAGTGTTGACACTCTCTGTGGTCAGTCTTCAAAGGCCACACAGAACAACAGTTATCTTTGTTTTGTCTCGAATTTCCTCCTTCCTGTAAAAAAAACCCAAAACAAACAAACAAACAAAAAAAAAACAACAACACAACTTTCAGATTGTAAATGTTACATCCAACGACGGCATCTGCAGACAATGCTGGGAGGACGGGGCTGTGGCCCGCGGTCTTTTTGAGAGTGCAGTCGGGTGGGGTGAGGGGAGATAGTGGGACCAGAGGAATGTTTGAGAGTCGTTCAGGCCGTCCCACTGGCAGAGTAGGAGAACTGGGGGAAGTGGGGTCTCCGCTCGCTGTCGAAGGACTCCATACTGTCATCTGGGGACAGAGGACAAACTTACAGTTAGCTCTTGTACTTATATATATATATATATACACACAATATATACCATGATGCAATATAAATGCATGTTATCACTCCTTCTGGGTGTATTAGATCACTGTGAGCAAAATCACTGGCCAGGACTGTTTTGTAGCAAAATTTGATTTCAGTTATGTGATGAAATGTCTTGATTTGTCAGGTATTTAATTTAGTGGTTTACACAAAACAGGCGTTCTTTCCCTTTTATTTTTTCCATAAAATGTTTCTCAATTGATTTTTCAGGAAAACCGACTCCTTGTAAAAGTACATATTACCTTCATTATTCCTAGAGCCAGGAGATACTGTTGTCATGTGAGACTAAATATTGTCTGAAGATGTTTAGTATACTGAGTAAACTGTAGCCTTTACCTGGTTTTGCCAGAGTGAAATAACCAGTGAATGGCTGGTCATCTTATCTTATCTCATATCTTGCCGTTTAGGAAAAAAGTTTTAGAAATTATCTAAAACTTTTTTCCTAAACTTTCTATGGAAAGCTTCAAACTTTCATCTCAGGATATCAAAATATACATTAAAAATATATTTTTATTTGATTTTAATATCACCCAGTCCCACTATTCCCATATACTGTCTGTTTTTTTTCTTCTTCTGTACTCTCTGCAAACAGACTGGATGCCATTCACATGCATTTGCTGACTTTGTGAGGTGATGAGTTTGTGGCGCTGGCTCTCCAGGAGAGGGCAGGCTGCTCTCAGGGGAGCTACATATGCCTGCAGAATACTTCTTTACTCACACTTGTGATAAATAAGTGAAAAATGCTGTAGAGAGGGACAAACCAAGGCCTCTGACTAAATTCATTTGCACTGTTTTTCACATGAACCTGACATTTTAATGTAACACTGAACTTAAAGGAAACAAAGGAGACATCATTTTAGGGTTTTTGAATAACTGACAATGAATTAGTAAGCATTTTTCAGTGGATTAGAAGTTCAGTAACCCTTTCACCTTGAGTGAACTGAAAGTATAATTTCTCATTTTAAATGAAGTCTCACAGGAGGGGGAGGGAAATTTATCCTTCAAGTTAGATGGCAGTCCATCCTCACAGTCCACTGTGCTCACCAGCCTTACTGTCACATTCAAAGACATTGCTATGAAGCACCACGTCATTATGCAGTGTGATGGTTTGATGTTGTTTTATATATCATGCAAGGAAGGTCATGTGAGTGTGTCTGGTTTGGTGCTACCTTGTCCGGGTGGTGTAATAGTGATGGTCTGTGCTGTGAACTCCTCGTCAAAATATCGTGTGTCTGTCTCCGAGGTAACTTGGGGCTTAAACGGCGGGACCAGCTGTTGGAGGGGAGACAGGACACAAACATATCAGCACATCAGTGCCGTCAGTCAGTTTGGTAACAGTTGTCGGTCTGATGACAATCTGTATCGTTTCTGGATGGTGGCGCTTCGAGTGACGTAACTTTATCGATCCCTCGAGGGAGTGACGGCTATCTTAGCTTGGTGTCATTTCCGTGACGACAATCACAAGAGAAACGTGGGAGGGGAGGGGGGAAATTTTAGCATTTTAGAAACTGACCTTCTTCTCATAAACATCTTGCCATTCAATTCCTGCGAAGAACTTGTGCTGCATGATTTCCTTGGCGTCGTCAGGCCCTCCACCTAACCTGGAAGACAAGTACAAAAGGTAACATCATGTAAGTCACTGCACTGATTCGCTACAGTGGGGGATGCAGCAGAGGCTCCTCACCTCTGCATTGGGTCTTTCTTGAGAAGGCCAGAGAGCAGCGAGCGTGCCTCGGGACCAAGCGTCCGAGGGAAGCGGATGTCTTCCATGAGGATGAGCTCAAACAGCTTCTCGTGGTCCTGGTTGTAGAAAGGCAGTCGGCCGCACATCATCTCGTACATCACCACTCCCAGACCCCACCAATCCACAGCGCGGCCATAGTCGTTGTCCTCTAGCACCTAGGGGATGAGGAGGAGGAGGCGGGGGGGTTAAATGTTTATTCAATGGAGCAGTTGTGTTTCTCTTGAGCTGCGGGTGTCATATTCTTTAAACAAAACTGTTGTGTTGACTAAAAAAAAAATCTAAATACCTATAAGCTTGTGTTTGGACATGAAAAGGTTGGGACAACAGCAGCTCTTTAGGCTGAATACACAAACCCTAAAGCAACTGCATCCCCCCACCCCATCACCCCATCACCCCACCCCCAACAAAATCACCTGCTCTCCCCACTGGTCTGGGGCTTTTGAGGCAGCCACAGCCAGCACTGACTCACATCTCACATTAGGAGCAAGGATAGAGTTTCCCCTGGAGCCCTGCATATTTAATCACCACAGGCCCTTCCACACATACACAAACACACCAACAAGCAACAGAGGTGTGGGTCACTTAAATAAGCAAATGTGTGGCAACAAACACAGACTGGAGTCTTACAAACAAACCACTCAATGAACACAATCACAGAGAGAGAAATATTCAGCCTTATTATTTCCATAGGATGAATTTTCTTTGCAGTTCTTAATGAGTAAACTTCTGCAGTGATGTGCTTACTGAACCTGTTGCATGACTAATGTGCTGCTGAGTGGAGTTGTTCCAAGGTCTCTGGGGACATGTACTGGATTCTACCTCGCCAGGCGGATGTTGAAGGTGAAATCAAGACAAGGAGAACAGTCTGTTCTCTTAAACCTCCAGCAGTGTGATGCTAGGCAATTCAGACCTAAGAATAGAAGCTTAGGTAAAAAGACATGGGCGGATTAATAGAATTAGATATGGACACAACAGTGCACAGGGTGAGGGAGAGAGGGTCCCAGAAAACAGATGGACGAATGTGTCCGTAAAAGGTACAAAACTACCGTGTGTGTTGCGCATGTGTCTCTGGGCGCTCGGCCTAGCGCTGCGGTGAGTGGTGAGCATCAAGGAAGAGGACTGGGAGGGCAGGGGGAGTAACGTGAAGCCGGTGTGGGGCTAGGATTACTGGGCCGTCTCTATTTCCAGCGCTGCTGTCGTGTGATTCACACCGTGCGACAGCTGGGCCCGCAGCTGCCCCATATATGTAGAAGAGCGCCACAGCTGTGAAGCTGCCAGGAGCACAGGAGCCAAGCTCATCCCTCATATACGTAACCAGGACTGCCTGCCTGCTAGGGCCCCAGCCCCAAACTAATACTGTTACACTGCCCCAAAGGAGCACAGATAGGGGGAGGAGAGAGAGGATAAAAGCACAAACACTTGCTGCTGTGGAGGAGCCGTACTCTGTAGACTGCACTTTTTTTGCTCACAAAGTTCGGCACTGACAGCCATTAATCTTCCAGGCTTGTGAATTCAGATCAGTTTCAGTGGCTCGATTAAACCTGTTCGCATTTTTCTTTGTACATATTCCCTAAAAGCCAATTTCCTCAGCCAATAATGGTTTTCTTCTTGTAACTGCTTAATAAAAGTGACAAAGTGAATTTGTCCTACTCCTCACTCCAGAGACAAACTGGTCCAGGCTTTTGCAGATTGGGCCCCCCCCCCACCCCCGTGCTCTGGGTGGAATATTCCCAGACGTTACAGCATTCCTGTGCAGCACACACAACAAGGTCATTGTTTACTGCAGAACAACCTGTAACACTGCCTGGCCCGCACTCCATAGAGAAGCTCGCCAGCGACCCTGTTGCTATGGTAACGCCCCCTGATGTCTCCCTCTGCTCTCTGCTGCCGAGGCTGGAGGTGTCATAGACTGTGCTTCTCTGTGGAGGAGCGGAGCGAGCTAAGGACGAGCTCGGGATGGACAGGTGGAGCACTATGAGGAATCTTTTTAAGGGTTTAAGTATAGAGAATAAAAAAATGTGTGTTTTGATTATTGTCCAGGTTTGAGGAGGTAAATACTCAGACACCAGGCCAGCCCACGCTTTTAACTTCATGGCCTGGTGCAGATGGCTGACTGGTGAAAAGTACAGGTATGTGTTCCTAAGAGGCAGCTTTGAAGCACTGGGGGATATGGCTCTGCCCAGGTCAGGTGAGGCATCCTGGGCAGCAGTGGCGGCTGTGGCTCTCCTGGTGCCACACAACAGCTGTAACCAATGTGGTCTTCTAGTTTTTTTTTCCCCCAGGGGCGGAAGCTCACGTTTCCTGACGTGCTGCCAGCCAATCACCCCTCCTCCTCATCCCCCAACCAGAAAATTCCAAATGGAGGCTAAAAACAACGATACGGCAACTGTGTCAACATGGACACCCTTCTCCCGGAAAACATTTTTATGGCAACAGGCAAGGGTCTAGAGCAAACACTCAAGTACTTACATACACACACATCGCCAATACTCACAATGAAATATCGAGTTACACAGCCCCCTCCAACACTTGTCATACCTGCACGCAACAGGGAGTAGCCACACCCCTCCCCTTACAGCAAATATGAGTGCAGGCTGCCCTGCCCTGGGCACACGGCACACTCATTAACTCGACTTCAGCTGGAGATTAGAAAGGCATTTTGGGACAGCTGCCCTTTCTTCCACATGCTTCTCATCCACTGAGGTCCAACAACACATGCTGCGTTTTTGTTTGTAATCTACTCGTCACGCATGAAGGGTCTACATTCATTATCGGGGCTCCACATCGTATTTATTCTATATGTTCTCCAATCAAAAATGATCTCACTGGGTTTTTGTTTACTTTTGGTGAGTGCCTCTATAGCCAGAAAAAGCTCTGAGCTGTCAATACACACACACCTTATCAAATTAAACCAGAATAAATGAGTAATACAGGGCACAAGGAGACACTGAATGGTTTGAGGAGTAAATGGAAAAATATGTGAATCATGTGCTACGACCTTCACAGTCTCCAGATCTGAACTCAGTTGAACATCTATGGGATATTTTGGACCAACGTGTTAGACAGTGCTCACCACCAGCATCAAAAAAATGGCAGCAGAGTTTCAGAGACTCTTTAAGCTGTTCTGGTGGCTCATGGTGCCAAAAGTGGGTTCTTCTTTTAATTTGACACTAACCCGTACATGCCCACAGGAGGCTGGCTTTGACGCAAGAAAGGAATACGTCATTATTTCAGGTGGACAAACAAACACTTTTGTGGTTACCTCAGGTGCGAGGTACTCTGGCGTCCCACAGAAGGTTTTCATGGTGGCCCCGTCTTTGATCCCCTCCTTACACAGGCCAAAATCTGTGATCTTTATGTGTCCATCTTTGTCCAGCATGAGGTTTTCCAGCTGAAGAAAAATAGGGAGAAGAAAGATACCAGACAATGATATAAAATAAGTCAGTGATTTGGGGAGTTAGAGTAAGAAAATAATTCTGGGGGGTTAAAGATACAGGTTTCAGTGTTGACATTAGTGTTGTTTCAGGCTAATTTCATGTAAACCCTCAACATTTTTCTTCTTTATCTAGGAGTTCTGATGGCGTAGATGCAAGAACCATGAGATCTGTTATACAAGTCTGTTTCTATCAGCCTTTATTCCAATATTCACTCTTTCTACATGCAAACTAGAAAAATTTGCATGTTGAAAGCAAACGTTTTTGTGTTTGGCTGAGTTTTTGGGAAAACTTGTTTGGTCTATGTTGGCAATGTTTTTGAATTTCTGGCATTTCCACTCACTTGTGTACAAATAAACAGTTGGAAGGAAAGATAGCTAGAGAGCAAAATTAAAGGCAAAGTGACCTAACAGCCTAAAGGTTGTACATCATGCAGTGTCATGACTTGAAGCTGCACGGCCTTTTAATATCAGCTTGACCTATCTCCCTCCCTCCCTCCCTCCCTCCCTCTCTCTCTCGGTTAAAGTCACCTGGCAGCTGTAGCTCACACGTGGCCAGCAGCGCCCGGCCAGAGTCAGCACATCCTCCAATCCTGCTACCCTGGCATTTTCAGGAGAACCCTAGCAGGCTGGGAGCCTGCCTCATAAACCCAAGGGACAGAGGGAGGAAAGGAGGGAGGGAGGGAGTGCTGTGCTGTGCTGACCTGGCTGGTATAGTTTTAATCAGCTGGAAGTAGTAGGCCTACAGATGCCACTGCAACACTGATAACCCCCCACAGCCCTCCTAAACCCAAACGTGTCCTATCAGTCCGCAGCATCCATCTCTGAGTACGAGTGCATTATATTGAAAAAGAAGCAGCTGACACCTGGCAGCTTCTTTGGTCAAGGATGATGGACATCTTCCCTCTGTTGACTAAGAGTGTTGTATTGCCAGCTTATAACATGATGTCATTCACGCACGGTGCAAGTGCAAAAAATATCATCCACTGAGAGCACTGTATGTGTGCTATAAAGGGAGGCCGTGGCGATCTATTCAAAGAGGACTGGTGGTTATTTCTGTCTAACTGCAGTACGCGTACGGACCGAGCCTCCCTCCAGCTGCAGTGAGGTCTGGAGACCGATCTCGGTGAGGCAGATCAATAAGCCCTGGCCACTGCCACTGCTCTGGGCGGAGGAAACCCTATTTATATCCTGCCAGGGGAGAAATGAAGGGAAGGGGGCTGGTGGGGTGGCGGGGTGAGAGAGAGGAAGACAGAGAAGAAGAACGAGGCCGACAGCGAGGATGAGAGAAAGTGAGGACATGTCGTCCCCCCCACCCCCCCACCCACCTTTAGATCTCGATAGACCACGTTTCTTTCAGCATGAAGGTAGTCCAGCGCTGACACTATCTCTGCACCGTAGAACCGTGCCCGCTCCTCTGAGAATACCCGGTCCCTTGACAGGTGGAAGAAAAGCTGAGGAGAAACAGGGGAGATTGACAATAAGGAAGCAGAGGGCAAATGAAGAGAGAGAGTTGGTCAGTCCAGGAGAAAATAGGAAGAGTAACATTTTTCAAGTTGAAAAGTTTTCTGTCACTTGACTCGCTGAGACCTACAGGTACAGATTTCGTAATGGTTAAAATGGTTTACCTCACCACCGTTGGCATATTCCATCACGAAGCACAGGCGGTCATGCGTCTGGAAGGAGTATTTCAGTCCCTGCAGACACCAAAAAACAAACGCTCACAGCAGAACTCGGTGATGTTTCCAGCTAAGTCAAGAGGAAGCTGCCATTTAAACAGCTGACTGTAACATGAAGCACAGCTACAATTAGCTATGTTTGTATTAAAATTATTACAATTAGCTACAATTTCATGACAATTATATAAAGAAAAGACAAGTAGGAAAACATTAACACAGTGTATCTAGTGTGCAGAGGCTTTTTAACAACTGCTGTGTGGCAAACACTGGTCCAGTTCATTGCACTGAGCACATCGCATTATGTGTTGCCTCCACCCACCACTTAGACTGAACATTTTGGAGGAGCTTTTCAATACACACCTCAGACTTACACAGAAAGGGTTAAAAGATTAACAAAAAAAAAAAAAAAAAAAAAAAAAAAAAAAAAAAAAAAAAAAAAAAAAGTCCAGTGTGGCTATAAAAAGGCCCAACTCGACTGCAGCCTTTGTATGAACAGCTCTTCAAAACATTCCTGGTGAAAATGCCCCTTTTTTTTCTGAATGGATGCTGCTGGGTTGGACTGAAGAGGCTTCTGAGGATTTCTGTGAGTTAAAATAAGGTTTGGTTTAGGTATATGGATGGGCTCCTTACTGTCAAGAACGGATGCTTTGAATTCTGGAGTACTCTGTTCTCTGTGAGTGTGTGCGCCACTTCATCCTGGAAAGAAAAAAAGAAGCCACAAAGAGTGTTTGTGCAAGTCTCACAATGGCTAACCATTTAGCTATCAGTCATAGCTTCCCCTCAGTGTGTTTTACTTGCTCCTTGGCATCCACTCACTTTTGCTACGATCACCTCCTTCTTCAGGATCTTCATGGCGTAGTAGCGTCCTGTGGCCTTCTCCTTTACCAGGATAACTTTGCCAAAAGTGCCTTTTCCCAGGAGTTTGAGGTATTCAAAGTCGTGCATAGTCTGGAAGGCCAGAGGAAAGAAAGTGGCGTCTAGTTACAAACAGAAGCATTAACAAACTCGTGCTCTAACTAGCCAGGACACAAAATCCCACTGACAACAACACAGAAGCATTTAAGGCACTATTTCACCCACTATGCAATTTCCACTCCTCTAATGGTTAGGCCTATATGTGGTTGTGCCTCAGTTAACCTCTGACCCCAGTGTTAAAGAGAATGTTGAAAATGGTTGTGTGAGGGACATCCAATCCTGTGGCCTTGGAGCTTTATGTCATGACACATGTGGGGGTTGTGAAACCTGGTGGACATGCTATCTGGTGCTAAGCCACCCACGGCTGATGTTGGGAAAGTAAAAAGTAGTTGGGGAGAGGCGACAGGAGCCGGGCTAACGTGGTGCAAGTGCATATAAGGCAAGGGTAGGGTGGAGGTGAAGAGTCATGGTCATCTTGGAAGACAAGGATACAGAAGGTGAGTTAAAGATGGCTGAGGTTAAGGTTTATATGTGTGTCAATGTGAATGGTCCGTACCACTTTGTGTCTGGGTTTGGTAAGGTAGACCTCCATGTCCATGGGGTCCGGAGAGGAGTCCATCATCTCCTCCTCTTGTTTCTGAAGGCCTTCAGCCACTGTCTGGATGGCTTTAGTCCATTCTTCCCTGAGGGAGGCACAGGCAGCAGAAAGATTACATCAGCCCATTTACCATCATGCAAGCCCAGCAGCCCAATCACGTAATTGTCTTCTTATCAACAGGAAGGCAATTTCAAGTGTGAGTTCTGCCAATAGCCAGTAGACCTTGTGCAAGTGCATAACAATGATTAAATGTGTATGTTTATGTGTCTGCGCCTCCACATGTGAGAAAAACCGAGACGAGCTTAAATTGCTAAACCGCTTTCTAGCAACAGAGGCAAATTCTCTGCATGTAAATGATTTGTGTTTTACTGCTCTGTGAGCTGAGAGGTGTGTGCTCTTCGCTTGCCTCTCCTCAGGGGTCTCCACGTGGAAGGTGCGCTCGATGACAGTGGTCCACTGCAGGCAGCGGATGATAAATGTGTTGGGCTTGGGCCGTTCCGTCTTCATCAGCTGGCACTCTGACCACAGCCAGGGAGGGAGGGAGGGGAAGGAGACGGAGAGAAAGGCCAGTGTGTAGGGGAGCAGAGGGGAGAGACAGACCCACAGTTATAGCCATTTATCTTTATCGCCACCCTAACAGACACTGTCGGCCAATTTGGAAAAGAACAGGTGCACTTTGGTGGAGGAAAACAACTCTGATCCTTAACTTATCACCCCCTTTAAAAAATTACATCAGCTAATATGGGTTTTTATAATGATTTGAAATCTGTGTCATGTTAAATAAAAACCAGAACTACTTAGAAACAATCTCTTAAGAAATAAATAAGTCGCATTTTATCACATTGAAGTTCTGTTTCATCCAAGTATAATGTGTAAACTTGTAATGCCTACAAATTACTGAAACCACATTTTTCACAAATGACTGAAACTCATGTTTTACTTATTCTTATTATGGATTTATTATTTGAAATGTCATTACATTCCTCTTTTAATCCATTTCCTTTCATGCTCGCACTTTTCTCTGCAAATAATTGTCTTGTAAGCAGTTCGCAAAACAATTACTCACAACAGCCTAATAACTGAATTTAGAAAGCAGAGATTTCCATCTGCACCTCCTTCGCATTAACATCTGTTCCCAAATGAAACATGTCAGCAAATATGTCAGAACGTGACACAAAATGGCCTCTGTCTGATAGATGGAGGACAGGAAAAGTGGACCACCACTGAGATCCAACATGGCTCCATCAGGGTGAATATGTAATCCAGCTGCAGCGGCTCCGTCAGCCAGCGACGCACCATGTGTCCTCTGCGGTGGGGTCGCAGTGGTGACAAAAACCCAAAGCCATCGCTGATGGAGACAAAGCCTCAGAGCGGAGCTCAGATAAATACTTGAAATCAGGCGGCTAATAACCACAATAACTCAAGAGTGTCGGAGAGGAAACGTTTTGTTAAACAAACAGTATGCTGTCTAATTGCTGTGTTCAGTCATCTGCACAGCTTATCACAGCAACTTTCTCTGATGTGAAGATGGAGTGGGCTGGGCCGCTCTGGGCATTTTTTTTCTTTTTTTTCAGTTGTTATTTTCTGCCCCAGCATAAAAACAGAATGTTGGTGGAGGATGTACAGAGAAGAAGAATGATATCCGATGTATTAATATCAGGAGCCAGACATCTTGCATGCTTGCATTCAGTTGCATAGCTTGTTTCGCCTTGGAGCGGTGCTCCTGTTGAAAGAAACTTGCTGAGATGCTACTACAGCCAATTTGCTAATGTTTCTATTCATAATCATTCAGAGTGAAATACAATGATAAAGGATACTTGCTCATAATATAAGAGATGATTCACTTTCATACTTTTGCCTCATAGGAACTTGGCACGACTGTTTTTTCCTGTTAATAATGACTTTTCAGGGTGGATAAAGAGATACAAAAAACAAACAAAAAAAAAAAAGCATGTGAACGTATTTGTTACAACAATGCAAGTAAAAACAGGAAAGCAGCAAACAAAATAAGAGTAAAACAAGCTGCCAAGAAACAGAGGGGAAAAAATGTGGTGGTTTCTCTGGAGCAGATACTCACGTGCTACAGAGAAGTTATTTAAGGGGGTTTCCAGCTGGTCAACATCTTGCGGTCGCTCTTTGTAGCCAATGAATGTACCATCACTCTTCAGGAGAAAATACCTCGGCCTCCAGGTCTTGATGTATTCTCCTGATATGAGAAAGACATTGAAAGGGATTGCTGAGTTATAGGAGACAAAATGAAACAACAAGAGATTTTCAGCGGGTTTCTGCTCACAAACAAACCCCAATTGAGAAACTTCACATGCTTTCACATTCTCAAAATACTGACCAATGCTCAACTACTCTGTTTACACGTGGTTTCATGATTAATGACAGAGCAGTGTTGTCTTTTCTCTTTCTGTTTTAATTCCCAGAGGTGCAACCCATTTCCTGCAATATAATTACTATGCTGTTCACTAGTGCTCCCTGAAATGACCATCTTGTCATCGTCTTTCTTTTAGTGTTAGGTCAGCTGCAGGACAAATGGTGGTTTTAGTAGGAGTCAGGACCCTGTCCCCCGACCCGTCTGTCCCCTTTCCAGCAGTCACCTGCAAAGTAGACTCTCAGGGAACATTCAAAGTGTCTGAAAACCTTCTCCTACCAACATCATACAGTAATGAATGTTACCTGTTACTTTAGACAAAAAAACTAACTTACAATAATAATTAGCATATTTAGCATTGTATTTTTATAACAGTGTTGAACTCTAGATGAACAGTGTAGCTGCAGCAGAAGAACCAGCAGAGATATGAGCTGTTTTAACACATTCTTCTTCCTTATCATAACCTGGTGCCTCCACAACCCACAATGCTTCTTGGCTGACAGTTAAATCTGAGATTATGCAAGTAACAGCTAATGTAGCCTTGAGCTCCACACCCCCAGTTCTTTTTTTTTTTTTTTTAAACTTTAAAACTTGTAGTTTTCTTCAACCCAACTCAAGTGACGCCACTTCACCAGACTTCAAACGCTTTATGCAACATTTTTTTCTTATATGCAGTAGTACTCCCTCAGATATTGATGTGTGAAATCGGTGGCGTTCTTCTTTAAAATACAGACGCTATAACTTGTAAATGTAGTTTATTGTTTTATCAACCGCAACCACTTTCTGTCTCTTTCCTATCAATCATTGTGTAACACCGCCATCATGTTTGCCAAAGCCTCAATTTCATTTTCCAATAAAACTTTCCACAATTCCCATTTTCTAGACAACACCCATAACCTCAAGCCATGCATGTCCATCCCATTCTTTTAGACACACTAGCATCACACAAATGAATCTCTCGTAGGGCAGACAAAACTCAATTTATTCCGGTGATGCTTCAGGAAATGTAGCGCCAGATGTTGTGCAGACGGGGGGAAAAAATAGCTTACATACCATAACAAGGCAGTGGCACACAGTGGAGTGGGACTTGAATATTTATACAGGAAAAGTGTAATTTATTTTTAATCACGGAGCTGCATATTAACCCCATGCAGAGCCGTAGCAAGCTGTCCTTAATTGCCCCATTTCCTCCAACACAGAAGTGTGGCGCGTGTGTGTGTGTGTGTGTGTGTGTCTGCAGAGGAGAGGTAGGAGATCTGTCAATATGAGCTTCTGTTACCCTCCTTCAAACACTCACTTCTGAGTGATGAAACTGATAACAGATCAGTCTGAGACAGTACAGACCAAACAACAGCTACTAATGTCTTTATGGTCTTATAAAATATTTAAAAGGGATGTCAAAATTTTCATAACATTGGCTGAATGTCACTTTTCATAATTTGTCACTTCTGACGCCTCAAAATTATGAACTTCCTCTTCCCACTTATTCTCCACATTTTTTTTTTGCAAGTGATGACATGAGTGGTGAACTCTAATAGGACATCCTCCATATGGCTTTTCTCGGTAAAGATGAGAGGCGAGAAGGAAAGGAAGAGGACACTTTAGAAAAGCTCTGTTATACTGGCAAAGTACAGCAGGGTGATGCCTTGTAAAACAGGCTGTCTGTACATCACGTTCCCGCAGAGCATCGAGCCATTAAACCCAAAGCAAACACCGAAGTGTAGAAACACCTGATTTACTGTGACTGGCATGTGCTGGCACCAATCACCACACTAGAGGAAACATCTGCCCCAGAGCACAACATACTTTAGTCTTCAATCCACAGCAGATGTCCAATATGTTATTGCATTTTTCATCATGGCACTGGAGGAGATTTTTCATCTGGTTTTCTGCAGCGTAAGTGTTTTCATACCAAACATAGTTCGTTTAGAAATTAGCTCGACTTTGTCAGCCGTCAGATTGCCATTTCTCGACGACTTCCAACAAAGCCGCCCGTGCTGGATGTGCTGTCCTAATTGAAATACACACCGGCAGGAATCCGTTAGGTGGATTTCCCTCATGTCTGTTTCAATGGAACACAATTATCGTGATGAGTCGTTTGTCTGTTTTAAACTACAAGCCTCACCAATCAACGTCCACATCAGTCACCCACACGTGAACGCTGTTCTCCAGAGAATCCACATGCGTACTGTTATTTATCACAGGCCTTCAAGAGAACCAGACTTCCTTACTTCAGCAACAACGGTGCTTGCAGATATGGTTAGCATAAAACCAAAGTAATCAAAGCACAAAAGAGCACTTGTAGTCATACAACAAGTATCAGGTGGGAATTAAACACAACACAATGATAGGTTGCCTAAATCTTTCACACTGCGGCCAGAAAGTCTCCAGAGCCTGCACACCGAGCCTTGTTTTCCTCAGCTGGGCCCCAGCTGGTGCCTCGCTCTGTGGTCAGGTTTTGGCTGACCCATATCCCCCTGCCATAGTCCATGCCAGCCCACACTGAGGACAGTATGTGCACAACGCAGAGACAGCATAATGAGCCCCCTACCTGACACCATGACACCAGACGAGGGGCTCAACATACATGCTCATCTCGCCGGTGGAGACTAAACTTTCAGTTTAGAAGTTTTGGTTTGGCAGCAGGAATGCAGCAAATCACTTCCAGACTCAGTAAAGACCTTACGTACATTACAGCAGATCCTGATGTCCAGAGACAGGTGTTTATGTGTACACGTGCATGTATGTGCTCGTGTGTGTGAGTACATTGTGTGCGCACGCTGCCTGCGGTAGGCGTTAAAAAAGGTGTTTGTGTGCAACAGATTACATCAACATCTAGTTTGGAAGGCTCCGAGCTTCTCCTGCCAGCTCCGGTGACGCACAGAAGTAGCATGGGTGGTCATTTGTGACGCAGCAGCACATGGCATGATGTGTCCTGTGCCGGTAGACATTCTCCCACACTGAGGTGGCCTCTATCTCATGGATGTCAGGGAGGTGACAAAGCCAGCTCACCATACTCACTGACTACATTCTTAACAAGTGCCACTGTATTTAAATAATGTCAGTGTGATCTAGATTGGTGGGATTGGTCATACGTAATGAGGTAAACAGGAATGTGACACTGGTACTTGTGAAACAGCTACTGTGATATTGTAAGTGTAACTGAAAAAGCTCATTTTCAACAGGTGGTTGTAAAGACGAGAGCAAGAGCAACAAAAAGCAAAATTGTTTGTGCGAGTCTTTTGACGTGTTTTTTCGACATTGACGCACATCTTTGACATAAAAAAAAAAAAGGTCTGCCACAAAGATGTAACTCCACATCTGCAACATACATCCTAAACTGGTGCACGCTCTTTCTAGACAGGAGGACACTGCAACTTCCTCGTCTGCGACCACAAACCTGGTCACATGACAAACAGTGGAAGCAGCTATATCCGGTTGTCTCTGTGTGTGTTTGTGTGCATTATTGTGTGTGTGTGTGTGTGCATGTCTCTACCACTCTGCAGCGCAACCCCCCGCAAACAGTCTGCGCTCAGAGAGTAAACAACAAAGATGACCCTTGTCAGCTTCCCATTTACACCAATTTCCCCTTCTTCTACTTTTATTCTGTTCTACACCGTGGCGTTTCATAAGCAGTGACAAGATGAGAGAGCGAAACCGACAGCTGTGCTTTCTGTATTTTTTTTTGATTGTTGACTCAAACACAGTTAAGAGATTAAATGTGGGCGCAGAATTATATTACTATGGTAATCATGCACGAGAAGTGTTATGCAGCTGTAACATAGACCGGCAAAAGAAATCGAGACCAAATCAGTTCACTAAATATCGTTTAAAATGTCTGTCTTTACAATAGCTTTAAATATTTTATATGACTTCAATGCTTTGGAGAAAAGACTCCAAAAGCATCCTGTGCACAGTGAGAAACACAGTGCAGACTGCTGACAAAGGACAATGGGCCTCATAACAACACAGGAGAGCCTTCTGCTTTTAAGTCAGTTCATCATCACAGCGTTCCAGTAAACTAAACCCTTTTGATGTCAACGTGCTCTCCAAAACAGGAAACTAGCCAACAGACAGACTGACCACAACCGAGATAAGATAAAAAAAACCTGCTTCAAGTGTCAGGTCTGACTGTAACGGGGACACACTTTGCTGCGAGGGAAGTCTACAAAGTGATCTGTGTCCCTGAATCAAAGCTTTTCTAATAAATGTAAAGTAGCGACAACAGACATGTGAGTCAACTCAGCCAAATTAGGGGAAGGACAGCCGAATAGGAGGACTGATTTGACACCAGATGAGAGATGAGACGACTAGAGGGGATGAGAAGGCTACACAGTGTGCAAAGAGTTGTGCTGAGTGCAGTTGTAGTGAGACAGATCACTACATATGTTCCCCACATATGTAGGAGTGCGAGATGGGGGGTGGGAGGGTGGGGTGGGGGGTGTGAGCGCAAGTGAAGTGTGTATGAGCCATGCGTACTGTGCATACTGTGTGTACTGTGTGTTTGTGCCTCTGTGTCTGTGTGTCTGTGAGTGTGTGTGAGTGTGTGTGAGTGTGTGTGTGTGTGTGTGTGTGTGTGTGTGTGTGTGTGTGTGTATGGGAGGAGCTGTCAGGGCCTGATAGAGTGTCTTTACATGACAAGCAGCTGCTGAGGTCTGGGATGCGCGCTGGGCAAAGTGGAAAATAATGAACGGAGAACCGCTGCCAAACACAACAGAATTCATCTTTATTTGCCAAATGCTGCATGGCCCTGTGTGTGGACAGCTCTAGCATGCCACCAACACGCCCTCTATACCCTGAACACACACACACACACACACACACAC